GGGTTATGCCGCTTAAACGGTGCAGTGAAGTATAGTTTGAAAGGCTGCACGTTCAGCTATACACATACACCGAGCCGCTTCAGACAGCTCACCAGTAGCGCTTCAACGCACGAAAACACACACAATTATGTCAAAATGCGCGGTTTTGGCGAGTTACCTTGTAAACGGAATCTTAAATGAGTTAAAAATGACCATAAAGAGTTATGTGTCAGATATGTGTCTGATCCGCGTCATATGCATCCTAGAAAGAAAATCGGAATCTGCAAAAATCGGTATCGGCAGATCAGATTAACAAAAAATCGGAAATCGGAATCGGCCAAGAAAATTGCAGTTGGTGTATCTCTAATATATATATACTGTATATATACAGGGCCTAAAATTAACACCCGCCAAGCGCCAAATGCAAGTAAAAGTCAGCGTTGGCGAGTCCATGTAACAGTGTCAGTCGCCAGTTGGCGGGTAAAACTTTTACGAATTATAACAATGCAATGAAGTGAAAACAACAGCCAGTTTTTAAAGAGATTCGCTGTTTCTGACATAAGCGAATAAAATAATCTTTTCCGAAGACAAGATCATCGTGATTAGCTGTTCTGTCATAAGCGACAAGAGCGAATCAAATAATAGGATACAAACGGATTGATAAGGTCAGAGCAGTGTGATGGCCAGCTTGTCCCTAGACACGGTTCTAATAACTTTTACCTGAGAAGATTTTGCTGCTTCATTTCGGAAGATTAACTTTTCCCTTCTTTATTCTTCATAACCCGAGAATGCGGCGACACATACCTGGGGTTATGCCGCTTAAACGGTGCAGTGAAGTATAGTTTGAAAGGCTGCACGTTCAGCTATACACATACACCGAGCCGCTTCAGACAGCTCACCAGTAGCGCTTCAACGCACGAAAACACACACAATTATGTCAAAATGCGCGGTTTTGGCGAGTTACCTTGTAAACGTAGTCTTATTAGAGTTTTAAAGAGATCATCAGGTTTTAAAGAGACAGCGCTGATTTTAAAGCGAAACCTGCTGAATTCTGTCACTGATGTAAATCAAAGAACAAAAGAAAAAGAGAAATCATTAGACTGTTCTAGTCGCTGATTAACTTTTGTAGCTTGAATAAAGATTAATATGTATAGTTTATGCATATATAATATAGTTCATGTGAAGATTGTTTTAAAATCACTTAAATTAAAAGTTGTTATATATTTCAGAGCCTATTAAATGTTAAAAATAATGGCTTTCAATTATACTGTAATGTTGAATGGCTATAATTAATAGGGAAAATTGAGGGAAAATGCACCAGCAGGACAAATTAAAAACATTGTAAATATGTTTAGTCATTGTAGTAGTAATAACAGCCTGTTTTTGCAAAAAGTTTCATGGCCGGTAAAAAAAACTTTTTGGCCGGTAAATTTTATCATGTCACCGGCCATTGGCAGGTGTGGCAAAAAGTTAGTTTTAGGCCCTGTGTGTACCGTTACACCCCTAATATATATACACATATACATACAAAGGTTACAATTATTATAATATGTATTATCCTGAACTTAATTTGATGACACATATGTAACATATTAATTGCATTAAGTCACCAAAATGAAAATATAAGAAACAAAAACACAGTGGTAGATGCACTTTAGCATAGAGAATGACTGACTTATCTTGTTTATGATGTTGTGAGTGACATAATGACCCATTTTGTCTCAAATATGTGAAATAACAAAAAACAATAAAATCCACCATTGTCTGATAAAGGTAGGGAAGGCAGATTTGATGGGTGTCAACTGTATATGATTGTGTGTGTGTGTGAGTGTGCAAAGGCAGCTCTTATCATCAATCACAATGTTTCTTTCCTCTGACATCCCACTTTATCACTCCCTCTTTATCTTCTTCTGCTACTGTTCTGATACTCTCTCAATGCTCTGTCATTTTCTCTCTGTCCGCTGGTTGTGTCCTGTCCTCTGTTAGTCCTCTAGTTTCGATTTCTGTCTCACAGTCACAGTTATTTGATGTACATTTGTATTTACCACAGAATGAATCTCTAAACGCAAACTTTTTTGTATTGCCCGTTACAGCACTGCAGCTCCATAAATACCCTGCTAATCACCTGCTGTTGAAGATGTGTGTTTCTGTCTTTAAAGGCTGGTTTAATGTCATGCTGTGATTGTCCTAGCGATGAGCTCACGGTAACTGATTTCACAGTCAGAGCTCCTGCTGTGAGACACTTTCACCCGTCTCTCCTCCTGCGCTCAGTCTGTTTTTTGCTACATTGCCATTTTGTGATGATCGCAATTGTATCATTTGGCTCCTATAGCTTTTATTTACATGCTGCAGTCACTCAGTATCCTCCTCCAGGGGAACAGTGTGCTCTCCCAGTGAATCTCTCGCCCCAGTTTGTGAACAACTTCTTGAGCGCAGCTTTGCCACACACTGAAGTGTCCTTGAACACAACTTAGTGTTAGTGAATTGTGATGTATGAAATCAGCCGTGGATCTCTCCGCAGGTTAACTGTGCTCATGACTCTTAGTGTTGGAACACAGATTCCATTCCAGATTCTGTTCCATTTCAGTCCTCTGTTAGATACGCAGAATGTATGAGTGACATGAGTGTTGATTTGATTTGCTCATTAAATGTGTGATGCCAGGATCACCAGGAGTGAAGTGTTTGGGAGGATGATGAATCATATTTACAGTGCCGATATTCATCAGGCAGTCTATTTTTCTTTATTTTCTATTTCTCCAGAAATTTTCAGCAAGTTTTTTTTAAAGCTCCATCTTATAATATATATACAGCACACCATGTTTTTGGCTTTTGTAAGCTTTCCACCTCTTTATGAAATTTGAGGTATTGCATAAATTGTAATCGCATTGTTATAGTATTTACATACTGTTTGAAATCTGTTTGGCCTTTCCTCTCTTGCATCTAATGCATTTACTGCCATTACATAGCAGTCTGAACCAAAGCTTAAAATCTTAACTGACACTTTTATTCTTTTGATGCTTCGCAAGCACTGCTATTTTCTTTAGGAAACGCAAGGATTTTTCCGTACTCTTTAATTATTTATGTGATTTTTTTTATTTAAAATATTTTATTTAAAAGTTTCAGAATAATAACAAAATTGTAGAATAGAATTTATTAGTTCATTAATAATTTTAGTGAAAATGTAAAACTTTTTACCAACTGTGTATTTTTGCTCTTTTTTTGCAGTGATCTTCTATCATCAAATTACATTGAGAGGCACATATCAGAGGAGGGGAATTCAGTTGTCAACAAAGTGAGTACAAACTGTCATTCCAATATCAAATAAATATCTGCTTTAGACCAGAAATATCTTATACCTTTAGCTCATGATTAATCCACAAAAATACTTGAAAAAATGTCTCCACCTTATTCTTGCCGTAAGAGTGGGTGCAGCCATTTGTAATTTTTATGGGACTGGCTTCTAGTGTCATCCGCGTCCAGCTATTTTTAGCTGTACAAAACAGCTCGTTTTGCTGCTTGATATTGCAAATTGGTGTGTCTTGCCTTATTATTTTAATGTATTATCTTAATTATGATCACACTGGTTTGTAGTGCAAACAGTTTTACTGTTTACTGCATGTTGTTATTCTTCTCGTTATTTTCCTATAGCGGCTAATGAACCGGAAGTCTCGGCCATAGGCTTACTTCCGCGTTGAAGAATAAGGTGGATACAACCAAAAAACTTTAGGTGATCTTATGATATTGGATGTTGTTTTCTGGAGCTTAAAAACTCCCACACAAATAAGGTTGGTAGCACTTAACCAGAGGTTTTACCACTTAGAAAAGTAGTCCCAATTTTTTTCAATGTTACAGTAAACATTTACCTGAATAATTCATTTAAATGCCTTGGCCCCCTTTGTTCCACTCTATGACTGTGTTTCACTCTGGGACAGTGACTATAGTTTGATCAGATCTGTCTTTGAGCCACTCTGGGACTCTCAGCTTCATTCTGTCAGCGTACTGAGGCACGTGTGTGTTCAGATGGGACACATCACACCCAGAGCAGAAGGTGTTTGCTTGTTTTAGCCCAGTGGCAGATTGTTCCTGTCGCACGCTCACACAGGAGCAGGGATACAGTGTCCTATTTGTGTGCTGCATGTTGGACACCCATCATTGTATCAAGGTGTGTATTTTATATTGATTATGCATAGTGGAATGGACGTGCCCAGGTTCTCTGTTATCCTTTAGAAACTAAAGGGCCCATATTCTGTGATTTAACTTTGACATGTTTTATTTTAACCCGTTTAACATGTTTTATTTTTTTTTATTGATCTGAGTTTGATTGTCATGAAGGCTTCAGTGAAGACATTCAGATCCACAGAGGCCTTACGCCCACAACCCAGCCTATAAAGCCTGAGGAAATATTGTGCATGTAAGGTTACAAGGGCTCTGTAGGCGCTGTTTTGCTTTTATGGATGAATGAAAAAAATAGAGCGGTGGGTTCTGTGAGAAAGGAGGGAATAACAGAGAGATGGATGAAGAGGCAGAGGATGAAGAGAGAGAAAGAGAGTCACTGAAGGGATTCTAGAACAGAAACACAGATATATTTAGCTTCATCTCCCCACTGCAATGGTGAACAACCTCTTAGTTTAACTACAGATTTAATAAATACAAAGGGATTATATGAATCATACAAAAACACTATCATATCTATAGAAGCCCTACATGTATATTTCTCTGAGACCATATCTTATTGGGGGATCTAAAAGAAGACATCTTGCTATTTTGTGAGATACCACACATCTATAGGGGTTTGACCACAACAACATAAAAATAATTGGTTTTATTAATTGGTTTTAAAACATACATGCTGACATCATAATTAAGGAAATCACAAGGAAAGGGGAACAGTAGGTTTATTATTTTAAGAATACCATTAGTATTTTAGAATTTCTTTAATATAAACGTCTCAAAGAATTTTTATCTATTACAAAGAAAAAAAATAATTCCTTATATAGTTTACGTTATATATTTTCATCTGCTGAAGAAACACTACATGTAAATAGGAGGAAAAACAATATTTTAAATTAAATCTCAACGTTTGTTTCCTGTATGTTTTTGGAAGCTGTGATAAAAAATCATCTTGAGAAAATAGCTGTTGACTTATGATGCCATTGATCATTTTTATGTATACTAGTGTGTTTAAAACTACAAATAATAAACAGACTACCATTCAAATGTTTGTGGTCGGTAAGACTTTTTCAAAAGTCTTATGCTCACTAAGGCTACATTTATTTGATCAGCAAAAACAGAAATATTATGAAATATTATTGCAATTTAAAATAACTGTTTTGTATTTTCATATATTTTAAAATGTAATTTTATTCCTGTGATGCAATGCTGAATTTACAGAAACTTTTCTTATTATTATCAGTGTTAAAAACTGATTTTGCTGCTTAATATTTTTGTGGAAACTGTGATACATTTTATAGGATTCTTTGATAAATAGAAAGATCAATTTATTGTGTCCTGGCTGAATACAAGCATACATTTCTTAATGCCCCCAAAATTTTGAACGACAATCTATTTTATACAATTTCAGGCATCTTCTTACCTTTATATACTGCATGAGAAGGCAGCATTTTTACATTTTGGACACAGTCTGTCTCTCTGTGATTCTAGGCACTAATGCATGCTGGGTCATTAGTCTGAAAGGGGCTGTCTCTACAACAACTGCACTCTTTAGGAATGTCTCTGTGTGTGTGTGTGGCAGAGACTGCCCTCAGCTCTTGAGGACAGAAAGTGCTACATGTGGAAAAAAGAGGCAGAAGTGCTCCAGAACAAGCTAGAGGAAAGAGAGCAGTAAAGGAATGGATAAAACTCCGCATATGAAGCTTTTTGTCCAGTGCAGAGAGAGAGAAAGAGAGAGGGATGAAATGAAATTGATATGCTGGTAAATGCTGCAGCTTCAGTCCTCTGAGAAAAAGCAGGAAGAGAAAACCTGCAGCCATAATGGCAGTCGAGCACTTACACTAAAACATTTCATAAATAACATACACACTCAGGAATACTCTTACAAGTCTTCTGATCACTTCAGTTCAAACAAAAGTGGCCAGTATAAATGTTGACCCACACACATGCAGAATTTAAACATTTAATGTCAACATAAAATACAAAGATTCATGATCTTGGCCTTATTAGTGATATTGCTTTTATACAAGTTCAATATACAACAAGTTAATGTTAAGTAATAACGTACATTTTAGACACAATAATGCCTGTTACTTTTAACTGCCAAAGAAAATAGTGCCAAACAAAGCCACAACAGAACCATTGTGTGTCTTTGAGTAACACAGTGGCGTTTAGTTCCTGAATGAATCAGCGTTTGTGAATGATCCAGTTGAATGAATGATTCAGTGACTCAGTGTTTTCATTCTTGAATGAATCAGCGTTTATGAAATAATCAGTTTAATGAATGATCCCGTGACTCGCTCTTAGAGAACGAATCGATTCAAAGAATGAGTCGGTGATTCACTTATAATGATAGTCACTTGTCGCCACCTACTGGCGTAACGATGTAACATACAGAAAGAGTAATTGAAAAATCCCCACTACTATTGCAAATTTACATTTACTTTTATTAATTTAGTAGCTCTTGGAACACTGGAGCTAACTGTTGTAAAAACAACAACAACAAAAAACAATATATAGTTAATTTTTTTAATTATAACTCTTAAAATAAAATGTACCTTGTCTCATTTGATTATTTTCACTTTTTATTTGGAAACTGATGGAAGAAAATCATGATTATGCATAACGGATGAATAACAAATCCGGCAACAGCTGCTTCACATTATGCACCACTGGGGTTAAAAACAAAACAATAAAACTAATATTATAAAAGGGATGGTTCTTCTGAATGTTCCTACTGAATTATGATTGAATTAGCCACATTTAAAGCCATTAACAGTATGTGCTGTTTGTAATTATTGTTTGTTTCTCCCTGCAGGGTGGAGAACACTGTTACTACCATGGGAAAGTATGTGATATTCCGAAGTCATATGTGGCGCTTTCAACTTGCCATGGATTACAGTAAGTCCCTCTATAGATGTGCTGCATGTCTGAATGAACACGCAAACACACACTGGTTTACAAAAGCAGCGTGACATGCTTTAGTATTGACTGCATGCTGTTTACTTGCAGTTGCCCACAGAACTGTCTGTCTCTTTCTAGGACACATTCATAAATAAACACATGTTAGCAGGCCAAAGCTGCGATTATCCCATTCAACAATTATAGAGCTGTATAATTACAGCATGCTATTATCCTCCTCTCATATCACACACTGATGCTCCCAGCGCTCTTTGTGCCTGCATGTGTGTGTTTCTGTCGTTCTCCCCTGTACTGTTGCTGTAATGCTCATTGCATCACGTCTGGCCTTTTGATCCATTGCTGCAAGCTGAAAATGTAATATTTGTTGTGTTTGTAAGATTTATGTTTGTATTATTAGCTTCCTGCTGTATTCTCTGCATAGCTGAAGTAAACCTAGCTGTGTTGCTGAGCCACTCGTGTGCCTGAGGAGAATTGAGTTAGTTTCTATAGAGCCTTACGCACATACACCGCCTCTCTGCGTGGCCCTCTGGGATAGCTCATTTCCTTCCGTCTGTATTTTTAGTGAGAGAAGGAGTCAGGTCAGATCCATCTCTCTTTCTCCGTCTCTCGCTCTGTATCTGAATGCACAGAGTCAGGTCAAATGTAGCTCAGAAATAGAGCGACAGGGCTCTTCAGTCATCACGCTCAAACATTTACAGCCTAAATATCTTCTCCTCAAAGAATTACATCCGCACAGATTTAGGACGAAATGAATTGCTGTTGTTGTTTATTTGAATTCACTAAAGGACAAAATAGTAAATAATTCAACATATTGTATTACAATACAGTGTACTCATTGTAAAGGACAGTGTTCACAGTGTTCAGGACAGTGTTCACATGGTATTTGTTAAATGTTGATATATGTTTAAATTAATTCATATAAAATATTTGTGTACTCGTTTTAGTTGATCAGATAAATATAGATGTCATTTTAGTAAAATCGATTAAAACGAATAAATAATGATAAAATATTGACAAAATTGAAAGAATATTTTCATCAACAGACAAAAACTATGATTAAATAATAAATCCAAAATAAATTAGTGAAAATTAATACTGGAACTGACCTATGTTAAATCGTTTGTTATTATAATTTTTCATTATGCACTTTAGTATAAAAGAACATGTATATTTGTTAAATATAGGTTTGTTCTTTGCAATAAACAATATAGTGTAACGTGTTTTAAAGGGAAACATCTCATGATTAAAAATTGCACTATTGCTCAGACGCTTGGGGTTATTAAGTTTTTAATAACTTGAGAAGTCTCTTATGCTGGCAAGGCTGCATTTATTTTATAAAAAATACAGTAAAAATAGTTATATTGTGAAATATTATTACAATTTAAAATAACAATTAAAATTTTCTATTTTAATATATTTTACAGTGTCATTTATTCCTGTGATTTAAAGCTAAATTTTCAGCATCATTACTCCAGTCTGCAGTGTCACATGATCCTTCAGAAATCATTCTAATATGCTGGTTTTATGCAAAAAAATTATCAATATTGAAAAAAGTTGTGCTGCTTAATATTTATGTAAAGACCATAATACATTTTTTTAATTATTATTTTATTAATAGGAAGTGTAAAAGAACAGCATTTATTTGTAATAGAAATCTTTTGTAACATTATAAATGTATTTATTTTTAAAAAAATAACAAAAATAAAACGAAAAACTTACTAACCCCAAACTGAACTGTGGTAAATATGAGTATATAAAGTGTGACATTTAAGAGAGGAGATAATACTGAGAGGAAATGATACTGTCTCTTATGTGTGATGAGAACAGTGTGTATATGTGTGAGAGGAGGGAGTGGTGCTGCTGAGACTGCAGTTTATGGTGCTTTATCTTAATGTCATATTACGGGTCAGACAAATAGCGTTACGCTCTGAAAACAGTCACGGGCTGCTGATGACAGCCTCCAGCAGACACTTTTAAAACCCCTCATCGACTGAGAGCTATTTTACCTCTTGCGGATCATTGACCTAAAGCCATTAGTGATGTAGTTATGTCGGCTGTTCTGTTATTATACAAAGTTGGTTTAGGGTTGGTTTAAAGGGGTCATATGATGCTGCTAAAAAGAACATTATTTTGTGTATTTGGTGTAATGAAATGTGTTTATGCGGTTTAAAGTTAAAAAAACACATTATTTTCCACATACTGTACATTATTGTTTCTCCTCTATGCCCCGCCTTTTTGAAACGCGTCGATTTTTACAAAACTAATCGGTCTGAAAAGCGAGGTGTGCTCTGATTAGCCAGCTATCCAGTGCGTTGTGATTAGCCGAATACCTCAAGCGTGAGAGAAAGGAAAAATGTAAATCGCATCATATGACCCCTTTAAGATACATTATGTCTACACCGGATGCAAGCAGCGTCGCTATCTATATATCTATCTCTCTCTCTATCCATCTGTCCATTTTTCCTAAATGATTCAAAAATCAGTGTAGTCTGTCTTGATGAACTTTTATTTTCTCATTACCCATTGAAAATTCTTTCACGATTCATTCATGTGTGAGAGGGCGCTCTGTATTTATGAATGTAGTCAGGCTAAAGGGCATTGTATCATCCTCCTAATGCTTTCAGAAGACACCTTGAGTGTCTCGGCACCGTCTGGAGGCTCTCTGAGAGTCTTTATGAGCAACAATGTAGCATACAACTATTTATTGCATGGTTTTTCTATATTAGTAGGCGATATACCGTATATACTGTATACTGCAGAATCGAGCAAGAGTTGTGCAGAATTCTGAATTGAAGAACTTCAACCTTTCAATTCATCATAGTATCTGTCCATAAGGCACATATAAACCTCCAAACTTTAATGCTTTTTAAACTTTATCAAAATGTTGTCAAACCAGCATTCAAAGTTTGTTGACAAACTTTGCTTTTCTAGTTAAAATTATTTTTATAATAAATTCTTAATATGTTGGTCTTGATGTTTGGATTGATTTAGTTCAAAAAATAACAGCAAAATTACAATTTAAATGTGAATGTAAGTAACATTCAACATCAGTTCGAAATGCTCTTTAATTAGTATGTTTTTGTATAACATTAGTTTTTAATATGACCACTAAACTGTTTAACTTACTAGTTATGCATCACCATCTCTCTCTTTTTCTTTCTCTCTAGTGGGATGTTCTTTGATGGGAACCACACATACATGATCGAACCAGGAGGAGAGAATACTACAAGTGTAAGTATAGTGGATCACTGCATTAAACAAAGCAAATATCGCCTATATCAGTATTGTAAGATTTATGTCTGTCATCATGTTGTTTATTAGCTTTAAAGCAAAAACAAGTAGGCTATTGTATTACCACAGTTTCGATAGCATACTTGCTGCATCTTTACTTTGGTTTTAAGGTGTCTGTAGATGAAACTGTATACTTGATAGTGATTGTTTGAGGCAAGGAAACAACCCAGAGCAGTTTAACGGGGTTTTTCCTGTGCAGACAGGTCATATGTTGACTGATAAGCCCATCACACAGTCGATAGAGACACCTGACTCTGCAAAAGCACAGCTATTATCTGCTACTGGCAGAGAACGAGTAGGGTGTATCCGTGAAAGACGAGCTAAAGCTGTGTCACTGAGACACTGAGGTTTTACAGAGGAAAATATCATTTCTCAGTCGCAGAACGATGATCTGATTCATTAAGTGATTCACAGAGGAACATGCTAATGAAGAGATTTGTGTCATTTAGAGCAGCGGTGAAAGGCTGAGATGTTGAAGTTCTTTCATTAATGGGAGAATGAAACCTGTTCAGTGACACAAGAGGGAGTTTATGATCCATTCACAGTTTGCCTTTTTTCTCTCAGCTTTGTTTTATCTGTCCAGTCACACACACTTATTATAAATCCAGAGTATTTATGCTATCAGAAATGGCTTTAATGTAATGATATAATGAATGAAATTAAACGTAATACACACAAATGTATCTTCATAAATGTAAATGTATATTAAATGTTCATATTTGTAATTATGCTTAGATTTTATAAGCACACTTATACATTTTTTATAAAAATGTGTCAATATATATACACTGTATATATACTATGTGTGTGTGTGTATATATACTTCTTTGGTAATGTGTGGAATGCTCGTCTTCTTCTCCCTTTTGTTGTGCAATGCTTCGTCAGCTTGTCTTATGAGCATCACATGCACCCTGAGAAATGACTCGGTTTCTTTATCGTCTTTATGCTGATGGTTTTGTCATGTTTCATATCAACCCCGTGACCTTGTGTGTTGGTGACCTCAGCAACAGGGCAGTCCTCTGATCTGATTCATTCAGACACAGTCACAAACCAGAGGGACAGTATCGTCCTGTTCACCATATGGCACATGCATCTGTCATCCGCCTCGCACTGCAGCGGGGGACATGAAAACGTGTCCCTCTTTGGCCTCTGTAGCGTCTCTCACTGCTGGATGCTGTACAAAGCTCACAGTACATGCAGGGTCTCTGCCTCTCAACCTACCTGAAGTCATAATGAAATCAAAGTGGACCCTCTTTACTTGCTTAATTCAAGGTCCTGAATTTTTGCACACAATTTATCAGTATCCACGAAGTCTGAAGTCTGAAAAAAAAAAAAACGTCAAACAAATGACTATTCCTTTTGACTGATGTCAGCTTTGCTGGAAATAATTTTAACACTTTGCCAAATAGCTAAGAATATAGCTACTATTACAGATAGTGTAGCTTTTCTAAAATATTGCACTGTAAAAAATGTATAATTATTTAATTTATTTGATAAAATGTCAAATACATTTTGAAATGTTTCACTTTGCCAAATAGTTAAGTATATAGTTACTATTACAGATAGTGTAGCTTTTCTAAAATATTGCACAGTAAAAAAATGAATAATTATTTTATTTATTTGATAAAATGTCAAATAAATTTTGAAATGTTTCACTTTGCCAAATAGCTAAGAATATAGTTACTATAACAGATAGTGTAGTTTTTCTAAAACATTGCACTGTAAAAAAATAATTATTATTTAATTTATTTGATAAAATATTTTAAATAATATTTAAAATATTTAAAATAAATGCTGTTCTTTTGATTACAATGCCATTTTAGTGCAACGTTAAAGCCTCTAAAAATAAATCTTAATTATAAGATTAAAGCCGTAATATTTTGAGAAAAAAAGTCACAATTCCGAGGATAAAGTCATAGCAATACGAAATGAAGTCGAAATATTTTGAGAATAAAGTCGAAATATTTTGAGAATAAATTCAAAATTGAGAATAAAGTCAAAATATTTCAAGAATAAAGTCGAAATTAAGATAATTAAGTCGATTTATTAATTTCGACTTTATTCTCGAAATATTTTAAATGTATTCTCAAAATATTTAGACTATTCTCATAATTTCGACTTTATTCTCATATTGCTACGTTATTCTCATAATTTTTACTTTTTTCTCAAAATATTACAAGTTTAATCTTGTAATCTTAGTTTTTTTTTACGTAACACTAAAATTCCGTCGTATTTGATTTGACTATTTATGAAAGATTCTTGAAAAAATGTATCATGATTTTCTCATAAATATTACTGTAAGCAGCACAACTGTTTTAAACATTAATAATGAATGTTTCTTGAGCAGCAAATCAGCATATTAAAATGATTTCTGAAGGATCATGTGACACTGAATATTGGAGTATTCAATGGATGCTGAAAATTCTGCTTTGCCCACATAGGAATAAATTACATTTTGAAATATATTAAAAAAATTAAGTTATTTTAAATTGTAATAATAATTCACTATATTACTATTTTACTATTATTCAAATTTTGAATCAGTTGCCAGTCCTAGTTTGATCAGGAAATGAACATTTTGTACTACAGTCAACATTTTCTGCATTTTATTGTATGTGAATGCGTGTGTGTTTGGAGCGACATCTCTTACTTCTCTCTCCATGTCTCTCATTCCCTCTATATTTCGCTCAGTGGACAGTCGGGTGGGCTGATAGTGTTGGGGGTGAGTGACCGTCTCTGGAAAGTGCGGCAGGCACCCCACCCCCTCAACATCCTTAACACACTTTCCAAAAAAATGAAAGTGTGCCATCCCCCAACCTGCTTTCTATTCATGATCTAATCCCCAAGAGAACACACACACACCCTCCTCTGCTACAATACAGAAAACCCCATCTTATTTTAAGCCAATTCATCTGAGAGGCCATCTGCATTATACGGCTAATCCTTCACAAAGTGCCGCCTCTCATACGTGAGTATATGGGGGTGTAGTGGAACAGCCTCCATAGAAACGAGATCTGTGTCTCCCTCGTCTTTCTTATCTAGCGCACTGATATTCCACCCTGGCAGCGAGTGCAAGCATGCAGGATTGTGCTCGCAGGATGTGTAGTGTTCCTGTAGCTCAGCTGGTAGAGCATGGTGCTAGCAATGGCAAGGTCATTTCCAAGGGAAACACATGTCTAATAATACACATCTCAAATTCACTGTAAGTCGCGATGGATAGAAGTGTCTGCCAGATGCAGTGATGTAATTGTTGAATATTGAGAGTTGTCTGATATTTCAGGTCAGTTTTTGTTAAACATCTTGGGACTGACTGGCTCTGTTCCAAAAACCTAGTGAGCTGCCATCCAAAATAAAATGGAACCTCCCGAGTGGCTGATTTGAAACGCTCTTCATAGCCTCTCTGTGTATCATATGAAAAGCACTCGATAGACATGGCTCTCATTCGATTTGAGTATATTTGCTTGATGTTAGTGCTTTTAAGCTTTTGACATTGTACTCTACTAGGCTTAAAATACATAGAGCTAAACAAATATTGGGTAAAATATTAATAAAATATTGGTTACTCAAATAGTAAAACTATAGATTTAAAAAATTCTATTGATTCATTCAAAAGTATAATCGAGCGCTAACAATGTTCAATATAATAAATATTTTACCTAATAATGTATTAATAAATATCAGGGAAAATTTTTAATTATATTGGAAATTTTTTTAAATGTAGTTTTTCAGATTTGAATTTAATTACATTTACAATCAACATTTATCTTGCTTTGCTTGCAGTATAATTATTAAATGTTTTCAATTTGATTTTAATTTGATAAATCATTTAAGCCCAGTAATTTAAATAAATAACTCTACCAGTATGCTTACCCTGAAGAAAGCAACTCAGACACCAAGTGACATTTAATAAACTGCACTTTAATAAAAAGAGCACTCAAGATATTAGTAGTCTATTCACTAATTATGTTAAAAAAAACATTAATTAACATTTTGCAATAGAGCTTTTAACAAAATTAACATTTTGCAACAGGCAAGATGAAATTGATTTGTGCAAAATGTCATAGGAACTATTTGTTTTTAAGACATTAGTGTTCTTCTGTCATTTTAGCAATGAATTAAGTGACTATGTAACAGTAAACAAACATACTACTAGAGCATGTAATATTCAAATGCTCTCGAGTTACACTGCAATGACATATCTGGTGTGACACCTTTAAAATGCAATACATCTGCACTAGAAGAATACAGTGGAATGCAGTGGAATGTTTCATTAATGGTTTGTTGCTCAAGTAAGCCTCATTACAAAGCATAAATCAATAAGTGGAAGTATAGTCTTGATAAGAGTAGTTCAACTGCTCAAAGGCATCAGGCAGAGACAAGTAACAAGAGTCAAACTACAAGGTTTTCTAAAACCTGCAAACCCTTCAACGTATAAAAAAGATCTATCTTGACTGTTTTTAAACTGACATTAAAACAGAAATTAAAATAGAAAAATTTATTTCCATTGCAAAAATAATAATAATAAACATAAGGTAAAAATTAATTCTCCTTCACATAACAACAAAGTAAAAAAAAAACCATGATGTTCAGGTATTACAACTATAAGGCAACGTAAAAGGCAAATATGAAACTTCATGGCTTAACAGTAATACAAGTTTAAGCAGTCATAAAACAGGTTGTAGGTTGTGTCTCTTTCTAGCATTTACTTATCACATTTAGATATTAGCATGCATATTCACTGACAGGTTAAAACAGTGCTTAACATCAACATTTAGTTCAGTGTTACTATCAAGGTTTAAAAAGCAGAATAAAGACATTAGGGTCATGAAAATTAGCAGAAAGTATATCTGTGTGCATAATACGTAAACCTGTCACACTGAAATAAATGCAACATACTCATTGAAATTATGAACAGTTTACACAGAAATTTATTCTGCTTGTGTTTAATGAATAAAGCTCATTGAGAGAGAGGTACGCAACTTCCTAATTCCACTTGTGTTATTGCTTTGATTACCTTTTTTGGGCATTTTCAGTGTTATAACTAAGAAAACTAATTGACTAAAGGCGTTCTTTCAATTTCACTGTTTTGTTCACTTCAAATTCCCTACCACAGCTAATTTATAATTTTTTAGTTATAGAAATAGAATACCAGTTTGACCAGTTTGACTTGAAACAACCAACTCAGTGTCAGTCAGCAAGGACAGGAACTTTCCAAAAAAATGAAAGTGTGCCATCCCCCAACCTGCTTTCTATTCATGATCTAATCCCCAAGAGAACACACACACACCCTCCTCTGCTACAATACAGAAAACCCCATCTTATTTTAAGCCAATTCATCTGAGAGGCCATCTGCATTATACGGCTAATCCTTCACAAAGTGCCGCCTCTCATACGTGAGTATATGGGGGTGTAGTGGAACAGCCTCCATAGAAACGAGATCTGTGTCTCCCTCGTCTTTCTTATCTAGCGCACTGATATTCCACCCTGGCAGCGAGTGCAAGCATGCAGGATTGTGCTCGCAGGATGTGTAGTGTTCCTGTAGCTCAGCTGGTAGAGCATGGTGCTAGCAATGGCAAGGTCATTTCCAAGGGAAACACATGTCTAATAATACACATCTCAAATTCACTGTAAGTCGCGATGGATAGAAGTGTCTGCCAGATGCAGTGATGTAATTGTTGAATATTGAGAGTTGTCTGATATTTCAGGTCAGTTTTTGTTAAACATCTTGGGACTGACTGGCTCTGTTCCAAAAACCTAGTGAGCTGCCATCCAAAATAAAATGGAACCTCCCGAGTGGCTGATTTGAAACGCTCTTCATAGCCTCTCTGTGTATCATATGAAAAGCACTCGATAGACATGGCTCTCATTCGATTTGAGTATATTTGCTTGATGTTAGTGCTTTTAAGCTTTTGACATTGTACTCTACTAGGCTTAAAATACATAGAGCTAAACAAATATTGGGTAAAATATTAATAAAATATTGGTTACTCAAATAGTAAAACTATAGATTTAAAAAATTCTATTGATTCATTCAAAAGTATAATCGAGCGCTAACAATGTTCAATATAATAAATATTTTACCTAATAATGTATTAATAAATATCAGGGAAAATTTTTAATTATATTGGAAATTTTTTTAAATGTAGTTTTTCAGATTTGAATTTAATTACATTTACAATCAACATTTATCTTGCTTTGCTTGCAGTATAATTATTAAATGTTTTCAATTTGATTTTAATTTGATAAATCATTTAAGCCCAGTAATTTAAATAAATAACTCTACCAGTATGCTTACCCTGAAGAAAGCAACTCAGACACCAAGTGACATTTAATAAACTGCACTTTAATAAAAAGAGCACTCAAGATATTAGTAGTCTATTCACTAATTATGTTAAAAAAAACATTAATTAACATTTTGCAATAGAGCTTTTAACAAAATTAACATTTTGCAACAGGCAAGATGAAATTGATTTGTGCAAAATGTCATAGGAACTATTTGTTTTTAAGACATTAGTGTTCTTCTGTCATTTTAGCAATGAATTAAGTGACTATGTAACAGTAAACAAACATACTACTAGAGCATGTAATATTCAAATGCTCTCGAGTTACACTGCAATGACATATCTGGTGTGACACCTTTAAAATGCAATACATCTGCACTAGAAGAATACAGTGGAATGCAGTGGAATGTTTCATTAATGGTTTGTTGCTCAAGTAAGCCTCATTACAAAGCATAAATCAATAAGTGGAAGTATAGTCTTGATAAGAGTAGTTCAACTGCTCAAAGGCATCAGGCAGAGACAAGTAACAAGAGTCAAACTACAAGGTTTTCTAAAACCTGCAAACCCTTCAACGTATAAAAAAGATCTATCTTGACTGTTTTTAAACTGACATTAAAACAGAAATTAAAATAGAAAAATTTATTTCCATTGCAAAAATAATAATAATAAACATAAGGTAAAAATTAATTCTCCTTCACATAACAACAAAGTAAAAAAAAAACCATGATGTTCAGGTATTACAACTATAAGGCAACGTAAAAGGCAAATATGAAACTTCATGGCTTAACAGTAATACAAGTTTAAGCAGTCATAAAACAGGTTGTAGGTTGTGTCTCTTTCTAGCATTTACTTATCACATTTAGATATTAGCATGCATATTCACTGACAGGTTAAAACAGTGCTTAACATCAACATTTAGTTCAGTGTTACTATCAAGGTTTAAAAAGCAGAATAAAGACATTAGGGTCATGAAAATTAGCAGAAAGTATATCTGTGTGCATAATACGTAAACCTGTCACACTGAAATAAATGCAACATACTCATTGAAATTATGAACAGTTTACACAGAAATTTATTCTGCTTGTGTTTAATGAATAAAGCTCATTGAGAGAGAGGTACGCAACTTCCTAATTCCACTTGTGTTATTGCTTTGATTACCTTTTTTGGGCATTTTCAGTGTTATAACTAAGAAAACTAATTGACTAAAGGCGTTCTTTCAATTTCACTGTTTTGTTCACTTCAAATTCCCTACCACAGCTAATTTATAATTTTTTAGTTATAGAAATAGAATACCAGTTTGACCAGTTTGACTTGAAACAACCAACTCAGTGTCAGTCAGCAAGGACAGGAATGTCAATCTCAATGCCGGACATTCGGGAGCGTGTGGAATAGCGGTGCCCAGCGTACCTCTGTGAGGGGGCGTAGCTTTGAGATGGGGCGTATCCCTGAGAAGATGCGTAGCTTCTAGAGGGAGCGTAACTATATGCCTGTGAGGCTCCCACTTCTGAGCCGTAACCATCAGGTATGGACATCTGTGGCATGTAGACATGGGGCAGCATAGGCTGTGTGGGTACAGGCTGAGGGTAACCTTGTGCTGGGACAAAAACGGGGGCATCCAGAACAGCCGGAGGGAAGGTCTGGGGTGCGTATGTCACAGGAGAAGGCAAGCCGTTGGTCATGAGGGGCTGCGCGGAGAGGCTGTTGGTCATCGCAGGCCCTTCAGGTAGAGGTAGCCAGAAGGGTGAAGGCAGTTTTTTACACATGCAATACCACATGAACATTAGCAGAGCAGCTAAGATCAGACCACCAGCACTGCCGATGGCCACATACACCCCAAACTCTACGGCAAACAGATTATCGTAGCGCTCGTTAAGGTTACGCGTGTGGAACAGGAACCAGACGGAGGGCGGCATTGCGATGGCCCCACCTAGAAACAGTAGCATCCCAGCCACTAGATGGCAGCCTGAGCTGTTGACCAAGCAGCGGGAGTTCTTGATGTCGTCAGGAGTTTTGGAGCAGCAAGCAGTTTTACACATGCCAGTGAGACAGAGCAGAAGAGCCAAGCTGGAAAACAGCAGACCTTTGGAGAAAAGAGTTTGATATCAACAGAATGAACTTAGGGCCCAATGATTTCCACGGTGTGGTGAAGGAGGACAGAATCACCAGAACAAGTCATAAAAATCAAATTTACTGTACAACGCAATATGTCCTGGAATTTGGCACAAATTGGATGAATAAATTTAAAAGTAGAGCTGTACACTTTATCAAATGGCAATATAGACTATTGTCAGTGAATATAAATAACAAAAAGACTGCTATTTAATATGAAATAGATGAGTGAATGTGCGGCACAGTTTGGTCTACTACACATACTCTAGCATGCATGATGTTCGTTTTCAGCATCTGCCGTCTCACTATATAGGACACTACATATGAACTTCATCTCCAGAGCTGCTCTGAGAGTCACGTCACAAGCGTTTTACCATTTCATTCGAAAAAAATAATGCCACATACACGCAGAAACTCAAAAGGTTTGAACTACAACCTGTTTGGTTTGAAACGAAGAAATTATGACAGAAATATATTACTATTGTACAGTAGAATGTACTTGGAAACAATAATATTAGTTTTTCAAAAGTTTTTTTTTAGGAATTTCTGAATTTGTCATCCTTGTTTTAATTTAAAAATTAAACCTCATTAAAAGTTTAACCTCATTAAAAGCACTGTTTGCCAAAACAAAAAGAATGGAATTGTTCACATTTCATTTGATTTCATTTTTAAAGATTCATTAAATTTTAAACTTAAATCTTTACCACTGATTCCTAATTTCATCCATTTTCGGAAGGCCAAATGCTTTCGCATTGAAACGCACAACATCTCCATGACATAGTGACAACACTACAATTCACCTCACCTTCTTTCTTTGCAATATGCCTTTGGGCAGGCATTATGCAAATGTTTCAAACTGTGATGTAGATGTTTGCAGAAGTAATATCTGGACTTTAATCAATGCGTTTTAAGCAGGTCTGGAACAGTGTTCTCCGTTAGCTAGAATAAAGCCCTTTGTGGGAGACTTTGAGCTTTGTAACTTTGCAGATTTTATACATAAACAGATACATTACACAATATACAAAAAAGAAAACATTAAAAAGCATCATATGGACTCTTTAAAATTAAGCCATTAAAACACAATTAAAATGGAAAACATGGAATTTGGGAGGAAAAGAAATTTGGGAAAAAGAATACAGCTTTCATAGGGCTTTATAAACTGAGAAATAAGGTCAAGGAACCCATCATGAGCACCTACCAGCAGGTAAACAGAACTGCAGCAGTCTGAGGTCCAGCTGGTCTACTTTTGCGTACCAGTCTGAATCAAAGTAATAGCAACCCGAAGAACCATCACGCAGCACACACTTGGTCCACAGGCCGTCGTACACGGTCACGTTTTTGGCATTGCGGTTGAAGGTGAGCAGGCGGGTGGTTCTCCACTGGGGAATAAGCATGGCGACGGTCAGACTGGCCACCGACAGCATCGCGATGATGAAGGCGAAAGCATTGGTGGCGTGAATGTCACGACAAGACATGGCTGGAGGCAAGAAAAACTGGAACCTTGTGGGGAAAGGGACACAAAATTACATTTTTAGACAAGGAGTAAAATGTGACCCTGGGCCACAAAAACAGTCATAAGGGTCAATTTTTCAAAATTTAGATTTATACATCATCTGAAAATTGAATAAATAAGCTTTCCATTGAGGTATGGTTTGTTAGGATAGGACAATATTTGGCCGAGATACACGTATTTGAATATCTGGAATCTGATAGAAAAAAAAATCTAAATATGGAGAAAATTGTCTTTAAAATTGTCCAAATGAAGTCCTGAGCTTGCATATCACTAATCAAAAATTAAGTTTTAATATATTTACGGTAGGAAATTTACAAAAAATCTTCATGAAACATGATCTTTACTTAATATCCTAATGATTTTTGGCATAAAAGAAAAATCGATAATTTTGACCCATACAATGTATTGTTGGCTATTGCTACAAATAGGTTTTACATTTACATTTAGTCATTTAGCAGACGCTCTTATCCAAAACGACTTACAAATGAGGCCAATGGAAGCAATCAAAATCAACAAAAGAGAAATATGCAAGTGCTATGACAAGTCTCAGTAAGCCTAACTCGATGCACGTAGCAAGGTTTTTTTTTATTTTTTTATTGTATAATAAATACAAAGAAAACAGATAGAATAGAAAAAGAATAGAGCAAGCTAGTGTTGGAGGCATTTTTTTTTTTTTTTTGCTTTTTGTTAATGGTATAATAAATAAAAGAAAACAAATAGATAGAATACAAAAAGAATAGAGAAGCTAGTGTTAGTTTTTTTTTTAAAGAAAAACAAGCAGTTATTAAATGAATAGAGTGCAAGTCTAAACGTTTTTTTTTTAAAGAATAGAATTAGAATAGAGAGTGCTAGAGATGTTTTGTGGTCCAGGGTCACAAATGAAGTGAGAAAAAGTTACATATTTTGAGTCATTTGATTTAGTTTGCTGTATGTATGTATGGAAACATAGAAAGTGTAACTTACTTAAGTCTAACTGTAATGTCCACTCCCTCACAGACATACAGTAAAGATGAGTCAAAACCCCGTTAAGTGCTGATGCATTGCTTAAATACGTGTCGTGTTAAGTATAAGTGTGTGTATTAAGCATTAATGTATCTAATTGTAAGTGTATGTAGACTACAATAAATGTCTCTGTGTATATGTACAATAGGCATGTGTACTGTTTATATGGAGGGTAATAAATGTACGTCTCTGCGTAGCGTCTCTCATTACAACAATAGATGTCAGACAATCGCATCTCTGTCAGGAGTTTCTTGCCGTCTCTATCAGAAGCGACTTAAAGTTACATTTGTTGTGTTTTCACGAGCTTGTAATCGGTGTTTTGATTTACGGTTTGTTTTAATTCCAGATGTGGTTTAGTTATGATTTATTCAAGAGTATATTCGAGCGCTAACAAGCTAATCTCAGCTAACGGCTAACATTATGATACAACCTGTTGCGCTTTGGTTTCATCCGAGTGACGCTGTCAGGACCAATATATCGCGCACATACCTGATTAACAGTAAGCTTCAAAGGACTCTTTTGGTGATATAACGGTCATTTTCTCACAGATTCGGTGATTTTCTGTCCGGTTTCGTCGTGTAGTGTTGTGTTTGGGACTCTTCGGGAGCGCGCGCAACCTCACTGAGGGTGCGGCGTGACGTCACATGCGCGCTCACTTAGTATAAAGTAAATAAACACAAAGCCAGGATAATTATTCCAATTAACAGTGTGCGAATCATACCGTGGCCTTTTCTGTTGGTCATTTCAACGACACAGTCTGTGTGGAGCTTCGTCTCAAGCAAATCAAGTTGCATATTTTAGAGCCTTCAGCAAACGGTAGTCAAAACGTTCAGTTTCCACTTATCCATCTTATCTTTTTCAAATGGTCTTAACTATTTCTTCACAATAAGCTGGATATCACACTTGTGAATAGGGTAGTCATATTTTTTTAAAGTCAAATTCTTAAAAAAATATTTTGGGTAAAATTAATGCAAACAACAAAACTGTAACATACTGTAACAAACTGTAAAAATATTAAACAGTTGTTCAGGCCTACAAATACTGTAATTAATACATTTAGAACTTTTAGACAACAAATTGGCTCAATAAAAATGTGACTGGCTTTATTATAGATCACCGATTCTGTGAGAAAATGACCGATATCACCAAAAGGGTCCTTTGAAACTTACTGTTAAACTAAGACGATTTAGAAACTCCTGACAGAGATGTCTCTTTCTTATACAAACTGAACAATGTGTCTCATCGAACTCACAAAGTGTTATGTAGGAGTGTTTGACACATATGAATCATATCATTTCCTCGCATTCTTTCCCTGTAGGAGGAGGTTCACGTGCACATGATTTATCAGTCTCCTGGTTTGGACCCCCCAGAGGACTTCATTTCTGCAGGTATGAACCATTCTCATGTTTAGATTTAAAGTATTATGTATATAGCATGAGTACACTATAAATAAGAGCCCATGGGGGATAATTAATAAAGCAGAATGAGTTAGATCTGTGTGCATGCACTTCATGCTCAACTGTCCATACTGATAGTTAATATTTGTTTAAGTTCACCTGGCAGAGTCACCGTTCCAGAACCCTCCACTGTCCAGTGCCGCCCACAGAAGGAAAAAGAGACAGGTGTGTATACTGTCTCACAACACTCATGGTTTGTGTTTGTGGGTGTGTGTATCTGTTAAGCTTTGTCTGTCTGATGTGATTTCAGTGCTGCTCTCTTTCTGTTTCTTCTGTCTTTCTTTTCCTCCCCATCTCTCCTACACTCATGAAATATTTACAGCAGGGCTGTGAACTCTTTATAGCACTAATGTATAGATCAGCTGTTTCTCTTTAGTAACCGTGTTTTGCATGCTGCAGGGTGATGATATAATATGATGCACTGTCAAATTCCTCACACAGATAGCACAAAATCCACGGAGTGTTGCAGATGAGACCAAATATATAGAGCTGATGGTCATAAATGATCATTTGATGGTAAGATGAGTAACAGTCCATTATTCACATAATTAACTAACATATTATTAACCAATTTATTATTGTTTTTTTTTCTTATGCCTGTAATGCATTCATTTTATTATGTATTCGCATTAATTTTTCCCAGTACAAGAAACATCGCCTTTCCGTTGGACAGACAAATAATTACGCTAAATCTGTTGTGAATATGGCTGATCTGGTAAGTTGCTAGTAATGTACATTTCATAGTCTTCTTTGAATAATTGTAATAATACATACTTTGTATAGCCATTAAACAGAATGCTGATCCTCATCTAAGACAAATAGACCTTGTACAGTCTGACAGTCACGTCATGAGCTGCTTTATTTGCTTGTTTGTCAGTCTGTCTGCCCTTGACAGTCACATAAACATCCCTCCATTTCTCTCTCTGTGAGAGACAGTTGGCATTTATCTGCTTTAGCCTGTTGTTCAATGTCAAACTGAGCTGTAGAATGAAAAACAAAAAAGATCCATCATTCTGCAGTCGTCACGTGTGTCTTGTGGATTCAGATTTACGTGCAAGAGATTTAATTCTTTATACCTGTTGTTAATAAAATACCTTTTGTTAATAAAATAATTTTTGTTTGTATCTGCAGTACTTCAAAGAGCAAATCAACACTAGAATTGTCTTGGTTGCGATGGAAACGTGGGCTGCGGACAACAGGTTTAACATCAACGACGATCCTATGGTGACATTACGAGAGTTTATGAAGTACCGAAGAGACTTTATTAAAGAAAAGTGTGACTCCATTCACCTTTTCTCGTGAGTTATCAAGAAAACACACATACAGCAAACATTAGTTTTTTGATCAAGTGAAACAGCATTTCTAATCAGTTTTCTCTCTGCTTCCAGGGGCAACCGTTTTCATAGCAACTGGGGAGGAGCCTCATACATAGGCGGAGTCTGCTCACTCACTAAAGGAGGCGGAGTCAATGAGGTTAGTGGTTATGGTTATGCAACTCTTTTAACTAATGAAAATGAATTTGTATGTCAAGTCTCAAAGGCTATTATTTGTTTTTTTCTCAAATTTGTTAGTATGGAAAGACTGAAGAAATGGCCATAACTCTCGCCCAGTCACTGGGACAAAATATCGGCATCTTTTCTGATAAGAAACGCATTTTAAACGGTGAGTGTTCTCGTTTCCTATTCTCACTTTTATATTTTTCATGTGCGTGCTTTGGCAGTAAACACAGCAGTACTCACACATACAGACTCTCATAGTTTGCCACTGTAATCCGTCTTTCCCTCACAGGGGAGTGCAAGTGTGAAGATAAATGGTCTGGCTGCATAATGGATGATGTTGGGTAAGTTTCTAATGAAGCAGATTTCCCAGATTTCCTAACACACACACATAACTCACTTAAGTTTTGAGACCCTTTTGGAAATGCATATTAGTCTTACTAAAACAGCCTGTCATGCTTTGTGCTGAGTCTATGTTCCTGTGTTTTGTTGCTTAAATAACTTTAAATTAAATGCAGTCAAAGTAACAGTGTTTGAAATCTGTGCCACTCACTGATCCATAACACTTTCTGTCACATCAGATGTTGTTAACTGGCAGCCAGTGAGAAACTTTGAGACACTAATTTTCATGACTTCCACTAGGTGGCAGTAAATAATTTGGCTTCTCATTTCATCTGGCTCAGTGTTTGCTCATTTCTGTGTCCTGTTTTCATTTTCACGGGAACCTCACAGACTGTTGATGGGTGGGCAAATTAGCATTACAATCTGTGAGGGTGAATCTCACAAAACCTTGCACAAAATATGCACATTTCACCCTAAAATCAATTCTTATTACTGTAATGTGCCAAAAATAACCTCGTTCTTATTTAATAATTATGATATAATTATATAATTATTAAAATAAAAATGTATTAAAATATTAAATATTTATGAAATTATTTTTATATAATTATTATTTATTTACTTTGTCATACATAATTTGTGCTGCCTTAAATAAATTTTTATTGTATTACAGTAATAAGAATCACAATTGAACATTACACAAAAACTCCAGGTTACATTCAGATTAATGTAAATGTTCATAATTATCATAAAAAATTCACTGCACAAATAAAACTTTATAATCATAAAAAATTCTGTTTTCTTTATGCCAAACATTTGTATTTTTATTTTGATATTGGGGTGAAATAGAACATTTTTTTAAGATTGACATAAGAACTCCTGTGTAAAATTAGAACATGATATCCTCAAAATGTCATGAGAAAGTGTTATTGATCATTTTAGTCCAATTTTCTCTGTTTGGCTCTCCACTGTTGACATTTCACATGTGGATTTTGACATTTCACTGTTCATGTTTCAAATTTGCACTGGCTCTTTTTTTTAGCAGTCTAATATTCATAAACAGTGTTTGTCAGTGTCAAAGTGAAAAATTGTCTTAAAAGAATAGCAAACCACAACTCATAATTAGTATATATGCTTAAAACATTCAGAAATGTTCACAGTGGTCGTTCGAGAAATGCTGTGATGTGAAGTGATCAGATACGTGTGATGCGATAGGTGTTTGCTTATGTCACAGTGTGCGTCTGTGTGTGTTGGTTTGTCTTTATCCGTGTGTTTTAATACCTTTTGCGTTTTCCCTCGATCCCGAATGGGACAGCAGGTGAGCAGACGCTTGGCTGTGTCATGCTACTCGCTCGTGTCCTGTCGACCAATCAGCTGCTGAGTCACTTCAGCCCCTCACTCCATCTAATAGCATTCAGTCAAGAGAGAGATATAGCAGAAGCTGCATTGTGTTGGAACATTCTGCAGTTTCCTGTGTGCTCTCTTTTTTACTGGTTTTTAATTCGGCTGATAGCTCATTGTGGGACACGTTTCGTTAAGAGAGGATTATTGGGCTCCTCTCAGTTTAAAGGGGTCATATGCATTTCAGCCCTGATCATATTAGCTAAGATTTCAGTATTTTTCACCTCTTGGAATTAAACAGGCTTTTTTGGGTTTGCTGTCTGGTCCAATATTGTCTGAACTGGCCCATAATTAAATAAAAAGCCTTTCTGCAAAAAACAATCCACACCGAAATCAAGTTGGCGTCCTTGTGTGGTCATAACTATGAAGACTTCATAATAAATAAAATAACTTTTTATAAAAGGAAAATTCGATTTTCCGTGATATGACCCCTTTAAAGAGGTTAAAAGTGTCTGCGGTCATTCACACTCAAAAGAACAGAACGATCATGATTTCATGCTAATGCCAAATGTCATAAAACCTGTGTGACACACACACAGCCTACCTCTAAACACAAAAGTCTGCTTTTATAATACAATCAGATAATCAGATTTTCAGTGACAAAAGTGACTGACATCTCATCTGATGTTTAATGGCTTACTGACAGGACGTTAGCTGAAATTCACACCAGCACTCTGTGTGTTCACCCTCCGTCTTGCTGTTTGCTTAGCTTCTCAAATAAGACTTCTTCTCTTCACAAATCATGTTTCTGAACACATATATTAGTCAGTAACTCCTCCTTTGGACCTCTAAACTGAAATATCATGTGTAGAAGATCAAAACCTTCGAGAAAAAGTGTTGTAATCACCACACCGAGCTAAGCACTTTCTCACTATCAGGAGAATATGGGACTATTGGGACAAAAAGTCCAAACTTCTGAGTATGAGAAAGTCCTCTGGTTTCAACATGCACATATGATGTAGTTGGGTTGTTTTTGATATATATAGATATCCATCATTTCCTGAAATGCACACAGCACACTCTCACGGCTCATGTTATTAACACTAGTATCAATGGCCTTTCAGACAGACACGCTCATGTCGATCTGTCTCTCCATTGATGGATGTTTTGAGAAGTTTATTTTTCGTGCAGCCTGCATGTCCGATCTGATCCACTAACTCCAGTGTTAATGTGGCAGGATGTTTTGTGTTCTCTGTTTTCCCCCTTTTAAGTGTGTCTCCCTGCTGTTAACAATCCTGTGAAAATGTCTGCAACACTTTAAAATTAATTACCCATGCTCAAGCAGGTAAGACAAGGTGCCCTGATATTCCAGGAACACACTCAGCGTCTGGTAAATGAAGAGTAACCACTCACACACGGCATAATGTGAGATATGCACTTATTGATTCTCAGCCTCCGGTTAAGGCTTCTTGAAACTGCATTGTTGCAGATTGTCACAGATTGGAATAGTGCTTACTGCTTCGGAATGACCTCTGCAGGATGTTGAGGGCAGCGACCCAGCCGATACAGGCTGAGCAGCGTTCAGTATTCTTGTACGATTTGAGCGTACTGCCACATCACTGTGTTTACAAGTGGATAAACTGTGATTTGCATCTAAGGGAGGATGTAGTGAATGGATAGATAAAAGAAGGAGGAAATAAAAGCTTTGAAAGTGTCATCAGGATCAGAGAGGATTCACTTAAGAGTGGTTGGGTATTTCAGACCAGGGTTTCCCAAACTAGGTTTATAGGTTTAGGGTGTTCATAAGAAAAGATGTAAAATAAATAAATTATATTTTCATGACCATGTTTTAGTACATGACTAAAATATGGTCATGCAGAATAAGGCATTTGTTTACCTGCATATCCTGTGACCTTTAACCAACATCAGAGAACCATGAACATGCATATGTGTTGTTAAATTATTGATAATAAATTAAAATCTCAGGCGGTACTTCAAGTGAATGTTTTGGATCAAAAGGGGTTCATCTGACAAAAAGGGTTGGGAATCCCTGTTTTAGGGTGTAGATGTCTTCAATTCCGGAAACTTTGTATTAGGAGCACTTCTTGGGTTTATTTGCCTCTATGATGAATTGCTTGTTGTGCTTTTCATTTGTAAGTCGCTTTGGATAAAAGCGTCTGCTAAATGAATAAATGTAATTGTAGATGTGAATTCATTTAGCAACTGTTACTTATATATAATGCAATACACTACACGTCCATCTTGTTGAAAAGGTCAAGATCTGCCTGTAAACACAAGGAAATGACTGATTCTTACAACCTATTTTTAACAAATCTGGTTGCTCTGATCCTTGTGTTTGTTCGTAAGCTGTGTTTTATTGTTCTTTGTGTCTGAGTCCTGCCCTCTGCTGGTCTGAATGAAACAGAGTCAGTAGCCACGTAAACATTTCCCCATCTAACCAGACTGATGTTTACATTCAGCGTGACCAGTTCACATTAATCTTGTTCTCTATCCCAAGCCCATATTTATTAGCAATAATTTGCCCCATGAGAACTTTTCAACAGTTACCATGTTTACATGAACATTTTGTTTTGGAATTTGGTCATATTCTGATTATTTAGAGTATGTGTCATGTAAATGTGATTTAACTTGATTGTCACAAACCAATCTGAATAAGGCAGCTGGCATTTCCCCGTAATAATGATAAATGCTTTTTATTTGTAATTGGAATATCCTGTTAATTTACATACACTTATGGCCAAAGAAAATTAATTCTCTGTTGGTAAGTGCCTCCAGTATTTCCACATAGGAGTAGTGGGAAAGAATCTGCATATCTTAGTTTATTTATAATATGATTACATGTGCAGCATTCTGGAATTGTTTTCAAAATAATGGCTAGAATGCCTTAATCAGAAAACAATGTGCATGTAAACGTGGTGACTGAGGTAAGAATTGTTACTTTTCAGTTTAAGCTCTATGAGACTTTGATTAGCATTACAAACTCTTTTTTTATAGCCTGTCTCAGTGGTTGTGTGAATCAAAGGGGGTGGAAATAAAGTTAGGCAGTGTGACTCTAGTGCCTTGTGGTTCTCTCTAACAGCTTCTACTTACCCAAGAGATTTTCTGACTGTAATGTGGAAGAGTATCATGATTTCCTGAACAGTGGAGGTGGTGCGTGTCTCTTCAACAAACCTTCAAAGGTAAACCCACTTCAGTTCTGTCTGTGTGTTCATAGCAATCACTTTGCTTAGTACGTCACCAAACCCACACAGAATCTGCACCCACAGAACTCCAGAAAATGTGCCAAGGATTTCCACAAAAATGAAATCGTTAGTTTAGGGTCAGGAAGATTATTTTTTTCAAAGAATATTTTTCATTCAGAAAGAATGCATTAAATTGATCAAAAGTGACAGTAAAACATTTTTATAGTTTAAATTGTATTTCAAATGCAAAAGATTTCTATTTTAAATAAATGCTGTTTTTAACTTTATATTCAAAGAAAAAGTTAGTCATAAAATTCACAGTATCCACAAAAATATTAAGCAGCACAACTGTTTTCAACACTGATTATAATCAGAAGTTTCTTGAGCACAAATAAGCATATTAGAATGATTTCCGAAGGATCGTGTGACACTGAAGACTGGAGTAATGATGCTGAAAATTCAGCTTTACAAAGGATAAATTTAAAGAGAAAACAGTTACTTTAAATTGTAATACTATTCCAGAATATTACTATTTTATTGTATTTTTGATATAAGATATAAGCATAAGATGCCCTTTCAGTCACTCTCATTGTCTCTTTTTAAATTGAATTTGTACTGTATTATCATGACAAAAACATAGTGCCAAACTTTTTGCTTTTTAATTGCATATGAAAACAATATCTGTGTATAATAATAATAGTGCAATAAATGAATAAATAAAAATGTGCGAAATAACATTTCTGTTTTGTAGCTCTTGGATCCTCCAGAGTGCGGAAATGGTTTTGTGGAGGCAGGAGAGGAGTGTGACTGTGGAAGCCCAGCCGTGAGTGATTTTACATCAACATCATGATCACATTAATCTGACACTGCTTATGTAATCTGTTTTTTTTTTCTTGTCTTTCTGCAGGAGTGTGCTAGAGAAGGAGAGGACTGCTGCAAGAAATGTATGTTGACTCAGGGAGCCAAATGCAGTGATGGTCTCTGTTGTAAGAACTGCCAGGTAGGCGCTGAGTTGTACAAGAAAACTCTGTAGCCTTCTGTTTGTGTGTGTGTGACTTTTAATGATTATTGTGCTGTCTCTGTAGCTGGAGTTTATGGGTGTACTTTGTCGTGAGGCTGTCAATGATTGTGACATACCGGAAATGTGCACTGGGAACTCCAGCCAGGTGAGGGCACTGTTACGTACATCTCACAACACATCCTACAGCAGTAGAATTAATATATCAAAGGAATAGTTTAAAAAAGTTGCTTAAAATGTACTAAATCTCAGACCTTCCAAAATGGAGATGAGTTTGTTTCTTCATCTGAACAGATCTGGAGAAATTTAGCATCACATTACTTTCTCACCAATGGATCCTCAGCAGTGAATGGGTGCCATCAGAAGTCCAAACAGCTGAAAATTTTTTTTTATTTTTCATCATAATTTTTTGCACCTTAATCTTTTTAATCTGTTTAATGGCATGACAGTCATTTGGTAATCAAGATATTGCTTCTGGTTCATGTCAAACACTTTGCATTATGGGATACACTATTTCATTTAGTGTGCTCTGCTGTATATTGCACATTTCTGCAAATCTAGTAGGTCATACCGTTATTCCATGCATACATAAAATTCACATATCCTACTATACCTGGTGTATATATACTACCGGTATGTACTACATGTTTTAAAAACAGTAGATAGTATGCCATTCTAAACATGCTTTAAAGTGTAAAACTAAATATATTCTTCACAGTGTCCTCCAAACCTGCACAAGATGGATGGGTACACATGTGAGAAAGAGCAAGTGAGTTTTTATATATCAAATATATATATATATATATATATATATATATATAATACAGTCATAATTTATTATTTATTATTTCATATTATTTCGATATGTCACTGTAACCTATTTGTCTTCATTTCAACTCATTCAACACATTTTAGGGAAGATGTTTCAATGGCAGGTGCAAAACCAAGGACAGACAGTGCAAATACCTCTGGGGAGAGAGTGAGTGACTGTTGTTTTAATATTATTTATAAGCCATTACATTGTTTAATATTATTTTGTTTTGTTTTTGTTTTTATTTTTAAATTTTATATTTCATTTTAATTTGATAATTTTAGCAATTTTGTTATGTGCTTTTGTCATTTTTAGTTGAATTTGTTAGTTTTTATTAGTTGTTTTTAATAATATTTTAATGTGTTCATTCTTCTATTCTATTTGGCTTTAATTTATTTTATTCATTTTAGTACTTAAACATTGATTTTAGTTAGTGGTTCTGAGGAAATTATGATTAGTGTGACGTTTCTGTTTCTAAAGAAGCAACATCGGCTGATAAGTTTTGCTATGAGAAACTCAACATTGAGGGCACAGAGAAGGGCAACTGTGGACGAGATAGAGACACCTGGATTCAGTGCAAAAAACAGTGAGTTTGACAGTCATACCACACTGATGGGAAACTAAATAACAGGCTTTCTATACCACAAAAAGTGTATGTGTATGTGTATTAATACATAATAGAAATTCCTATGAATTTCTATTAACTTTTCCAGGCTTGCAAATTATGCTTTTCCAATTTTTTTCTAGTTTATTATGGAATTACCTTAGTTTTATGTGCTCTATCTAGATTAAAACGTGTGCATGTGTGTGTATTTAGGGATGTACACTGTGGATACCTGCTGTGCTCCAACATTTCTCCTGCACCCAGACTAGGAGAGTTACAGGGAGGATTGACATCTTTCTCTGTGGCCCAGCACAGCGCCTCACTGGACTGCAGGTACACACACAAACACACACTCACTTCAGCTTTCTATGTGACTGATTTTCCTAAAGTGAGTCTGAATGTTTCAGTGGAGGGCATGTGCTGATTGACGTCGACACTGATTTGGGATACGTAGAGGATGGAACGGCGTGTGGGATGGATCACATCTGCTTTAATCACAAATGCCTCCCAGTGCAGGAATTCAACTTCAGCACGTGCCCCGGCACCAACGAAAGGGTGATCTGCTCCGGACATGGGGTGAGAGATTGTGTGTGGTGTGAATTGTGACAGTTGTGTCACCCACTGATCCACTTTCAGCTAAAAAAAAGGTGCATACGCACATGTGCCAAATGCCATGAGTAAATTTAGAAGAAAATTTGAACTGCTTTATGATGTGAAATAGTATTTTCTTATGTATTGTAAAAATGAATGTGCCAAATAAAACTAAGTGGGGTGAAAATGACCTGACAGCTCTCAGTTAAACAGAGAAACTTCATATTGATAGAAAAAGAAACATCACATGTTACTTTATACACACTGTATACAACATACTATATAAAAGGCACAGCTAAATGTGACATTGTAGGGTAATGGGTTTATGTGAAGATTGTTTTAAGTTCACTTAAATTGAAAGTTGCAAGAATTTTTTATGTTCTGTAATTGTTTAGGCCTAATAGCACAAATTTTACAAGTAGCTGTATTTATATATATATTTTTAAATCCAGAGGCATCAGTATCAGTATTGGTATTGTTGATACTGGCCTTCATTCATAATACTTAATAAAAAGTACAGAGTATAGTATAAAGATGCCATTAAACAAATATTTAAAATATACCATCTTTATATTATTTCTTCATTAATTTGGAAAATAAGATTTATTGTGAAAATATATTTATTATTTCAATTTTTTGTTAGATGTGGTTAAGAATGAATTTTTAATGGATTGACAGCACTAATTTTAATTTTCAATATGGTTTATGAATGTATAAATAATAATAAAAAGACAATAATAAATTGTCAAAATGTAATAAATAAACTAACTTTAAAATAACATAAATCATACTTTGGGCCATACTCTTCCAAGTGCTATATTTATATTTGGTTAATATCAAATATGTGTTTAATACCCCTGATATGTAAATAAACAATTCAAGTCCCTGCATCTTCTTTTATTGTAGTGAAAGATTTAGTTAATTGCTGCTGTGTTTTGACTCGGGTATATAAATGGTTTATCTAGATGTGTGTTTGTGCTGTAGGTGTGCAGTAATGAGCTCAGGTGTGTGTGTGACCTGGGCTGGGCAGGTGAGGAATGTAACGCCACCTCTCCTTTGAGTTACCTGCTGGTGCGACCCACAGCCAAAACATCAGGTATGCCAAACTTTCACATTTGCTAAGTCTTCACAAGAGGATGACTTGCAGAACCAGTTCCACTGTTTGGAGATCCTTTACCAACACACATTAAAAAAACAGCTTATGACACAAGTCCAAAAGAAGCAGACATCCAAGGCTTCCAGCTTAAAGCTTAAAGATCTGCCATGTCTAAGCATATTTCAAAAGTCATTTGTATAAAATGGATACATAAATCGATTTTACCACTAGTAAGGTGTTCTCTTAAGCACAATATAAAACAGTGGCACCATCAATATTAACACACTGAAGGATTTTATGTAATCATTTTAATGTATTTAGTGAAAAACAGCTTAGAATTGATTGATTATTCTCACAATTTTTACATTAAATTAATTCTTACATTTTGAATCTACTTGACTGTTAAATTTGGTCGTTCCTGTTATTGCAAACAAAAACAATTGTAAGCCATTTCAGAGCAAATACATAAACATTTATTTAACATTTATTTAACAAATATATTTAAATATATGAGGGCTGAAAATCTCAAGATATCATTTTTTTTTTCATTAGTCTGTTATTCTTCTGTTCTGTTTTCATATTCATGTTCAACAGTTCATTCACCACTTGCAAACATTTCACACGCTTTTAATTTCTCTTTTTTTTCTGTTTCATGACTTTTGTTTATACGCACTCGTTCTTTGTGGACAGGCTCATGTCTTTTGCTGGAGTGACAGTGAGTTTAGATTTGAGTTGTTGTTTGTTGTCGTTTCTTCTGTGGTTTTGTCGTTCACTCGCCCCATCATTCCTCCGTGTTTCTGTCTGAATTATAGCTGGCAGTGTTTATCTGCTGTGCTGTGTTGTTATAAACCTTGTCATATACCCTGTTTTATGGATTTGATTTGAATGGATGCCTTTAACATACAGCCTCCGTGGACAGAAAGAGTCATAAATCTTAATCTAAATATTTTTTCTCGTTTCTGTCTCTATCTGTTTTTATTCCAGATTCATTTTGGCATGCGTTCAACTGGACAAAACAAACAAGAAATTTTAGATTCTGTATCTAACATAAATATAAATCATGTTTACATACAGATTAGTTTTGGTTTGTCCAGATGATTGCAGGTCAGTGTTGACTTTTAGTTGCTGTGGCTTCACATTAAATGTTCTGTTCCTCTGACAGGCGTCATCACTACTAACATCATCATCGGGGCCATTGCGGGCTCTATCCTGGTCCTTGCACTGATTCTAGGCATTTCTGCATGGGGATACAAGTGAGTCACATAATTACAGACCCCTCACTAGCTGAAACATTATTAAACTTTGCTTAAAGTGATAGTCCACCCAAAAATTTAAATTCTCTCAGCATTTACCCTCATGTCGTTCCAAACATTCTTGTATTTAACTCAGACGAAGATGAGTAGAATCTCCAAAGGGCTATTTTGGAGCAAACAGCTTCTTCCATGTACAGAACCAAATGATATACAGATTTGTTCTTTTATTATGCTTTTCTCTGGATGTTTTGCACTAATTGTTTTGTGCTAATTTCTCCCCTGTGAAGGAGCTACAGACAGCGTCAGTATGTTGAGTCTGACGTACACAGAAGATTCTGTCGGTTTGTCTACCCTTTTCTTCATTTTATAACTGTGCTTTTATGTGTTGTGTGAACGAGTGGAAAGTTTTGAATTATTGCTAAGGTTATTATTATTGCTCATAGTTCTGTAATTAAGGATTTGAACAAGCTCTATGTATTACATTTGCCATGCAAACGTTTGGGTAAGTAAGATTTTGTAATGTTTTTGAAAGAAGTCTCTTATGCTCTCCAAGGCTGCATTTATTTGATCAGAAATACAGTAAATTACTCTAGTCTTCAGTGTCACATCAGTGATCCTTCAGAAATCATTCTTTAATGAAAAGAAACTTCAGAGTAACAGCATTTATTTGAAATATAAATCTTTTGTAACATTAAATATTTTACTTATCTCTTTTCAATTTGATGATTAAAAGCCCCCAAACTTTTGAATGGTAGTGTAATGTGTATACATTTCTAAGTGATCAGATTTAAGTTTTCCCAGCTCAGTTTTCAGAACAAACCTTCTTCATTTTGTCAGTCAAATGCCTCCGGGTGATTACGTGAAGAAGCCTGGAGACGCTGATTCCCTGTACAGTGACATGCCGCAGGGCGTGAGCTCAAACTCCGGCAGCAGCTCCAAGAAGAGGTCTGCTTACCTGTCTCACCTCCAGATCAACACCTGCTCTTTCACCCCCTCTATCCCTTCCATCAGCCAAAACATCTCTCTGTTCGGCTTCAGGTGTGCTTCATCTCCATCTTCATCTTCATCGCTTTGCCTGCTCTGCTAGCAAATAGTGTAAAAGTTTACCTTGAGAGCTCAACAGACAATTATGTTGCATTTAAGTATCAACTTTGTCTCAGATGTTTCTGTGAAAAGACTTTGGAGACATAAATGAGACATATTGTGACATAAAGTAAAAGTATATAGCTATGAACGTAATGTTGCTCAGACATAATTTGATGAGAAATGCTAAAGTTCATACTGAGATCTTTAACTGAACACCGTTTGAGACATTGCGATCTCTTCTCAAACTCTAGAGGACACATGTGAGATTACTGGGGTATATTCCTCGGGAAAAAACATCTCAGAAGTCAGTCACCATTTGCGCTGGGTTTAGTCACATTGCTATCTAGGGGATATAACTGAGATATTAAAAAGATTATTTTTAAAAACAGTATAAATACTATATTATTAAAAATATTAAATAATTCCAGTGTTATTTGGCATAGACTTCTTTAAAATAAACTGTGCAGTTCCTTCTACAGGACGTAATTTTTTGTCAAGACTTGCAGGTTTTTATTCCTTCTTTGATGACTTCTCCGCTGCAGGTTTGTGCTCAAAACTGTCTGTTTGTCTTTCTCTTGGTTATTGTTAAAGTAAGTAAGTCAGTGTCTTCATGGTGTCCCATCTCCATGATCTCATGCTCATCTTGCTCATTTCAGTGTGTTTGTTCTGCTTATCACAGTGATGTGGGTCATTCCTGCTTTACAGTATCCTCTGATCTCTGCAATGTTTTAAAAATTAATTATACTGTAGTAAGATGTAATGTAATAAGAAAAAACTTTAAGGAAGTACATGACATAATTTGAATGATGATGATTAAAGAAACAGACTTTTGTCAAGAAAATTACAAAAGATTAACAGGGATAAAAAGTGAAGGTGAAGACAAGTTGGAAACCTATAAAATGATCATAAATTATGACAGTTTTTCAAAGAAAAATTTTTGCTAGACATTTTGATTGAAGGAAGGAGAAATTAAGAACCCCCTGCAATATTGCTTAAAATGCATTGCCAGTTTTCCATGATAGTTTGCAGACATGGGAAAAACACACACACTTAATTGTGTGCTAAAAGAAAGCAACAAACTGATATGATTTCTATCTTTAATAACAGTGAGTAAACATTAAAATGTACTGCAATGAAATGTACTGGAAAACTTAGTAGGAATGACCCACATGACGTCTTTGTCATTTGTTTTCCTCATACAGAACCCTTTTAATCTCTGTAACTGCATTTAATGAACTTCAGTGAGAATTTCTCTGTTCTTTGGTCTGAAGATCTAATGGTATGTCTCACTCCTGGAGTGAAAGAATCCCAGATGCCAAGCACATCTCTGACGTCTGTGAAAACGGACGACCCAGGAGCAACTCATGGCAAGGTAACGCACCCATCAATACATCCGCTCAAAATGGCAAAGCTTGCATCAGATTCGTCCCAGCATTCATATCATGTGTTCTTCTCCTCTGTCGATGCAGGAAACATCACAGGTACCCGTAAGAAGCTCAAGGGAAAGAAGTTCCGTCCTCGCTCCAACTCCACAGAGTAAGAGATGCAGTGTTGCCATATGACATCGTACAGTGACTGATGTAGATGTTGGACTTTGCATGGAGTCTTAAACTCTATGCCATTTGTCATTACTACAGTCCAAACTATTTTATTGAAAAGCGTTTGGAGTAAATGTTGGTTTGTTTTGGGTGTGCATTGATGTGTGCATTGGTTTAACCTCTGGAAACAGCACGTTGAAACTGACCTGCATGTCTGTAATCACCTGTATGCACACAATATACACTCTGATTCTGATTTCAGTTTGATGCTCGTTTCTGCACCTGAACTCTCTTGTTTCAAACGCATGTGACTAACTGACCTCAACTAAAACAAAAAAAACAACATGCAGCTGACCTACACATATACTACTAACTTTATCTCAAGCAAAACATATTCAGAAACGCATTAGTAAGCAGCATTGCACTTCTAAAATGTGCTTTAACGTTGAATAGTTTGATGATTGTGGAAAAGTTCTGCTAAATTTAAAGGAATAGATCACTGAAAAATAAATCATCATTCACTCATCATGTCATTCCAAACCTGTATGACTTTCTGTTTTTAGAACACAGAACAGAATGTTGATGCTTTTCTATACTAAACAATTTAGTGATCAGGGACTGTTAAGCTATTTAGAAGTGTCAAAAAAGTAGTCACTATATTCTAAAGGTGCATCCCAAATCGTGTACTTATGCGCTACTCTATGACGTTTTTTAGTATAAATAGTGCAAGTAGTGTGTTCACTGAAAATTTCAAAAAGAAAAAGTGCACTTTAAATACCCTGATAATGCACTTAAATAACCGGGGGAAAAAAACGGTTAATGCACTAAACTGTCGCAGCTTTAATTATGTAGCGTAGGGGGAGGGGCTATCAGACTCAGATTATTAATGACAAAATAACCTCATGTAATTTATACACTATATGGTTGAGTACATAGTGCATAAGTACATAGTGTATAAGTGCATAGTATATAGTGCGTCAATTACTTAATGATGTGATATTAGGAGGAGATCTTAATTTAAATCTAATTACTGATAACCTTAACCTCTGCAATAACTCTTAAATCTAATTGGCATACATCTATTCAATCTTGATGCTTGAAGAAATATTATATAGTATAGATGTAATAGTTTAATATTACTGCGGAAACTGTGATGCATTATGTTTCAAGATTTCTTTTATGAATAGAAAGTTCAAAAGAACGGCATTTATTTGAAATATTAAAGACATTTATAATGTTACAGAAGATTTCTTTCACTTTTGATCAATGCATCCTTGCTGAATTGGTGTTCAGTTCTTTAAAAAAAAAAAAAAGAAGCTTGCTGACCCCAAACTTTTGAACAGTAGTATGTAAACTTTGTTTGAATATGCACATGTACGAATGAAATAGTAGTGCTAGAGTAAAGGGGAAGATTTTCATCTAATACAACTTAAATTTCAATCGTTTACTTTCTAAAAGTTCTTGTATGGCTTTGAATACGGTGCACAAGTTATACAGACTGCTTTGATTATTCTGTTTTTGTCATTTTAGATATTCACTAGCCACTATTTCACTTTCATTGAATGGAAAATAACATTTTGCTTTGTGTTCCACTGAAGAAAGAAAGTCAAACAGATTTGGAACAACAAGGAAATGATGACAAATTTTACATTTTCGAGTGAACTAAGGTCAATTGGATGGTGACGTTTACAGCAGCAGAGTCTTTAATTTTTCTGTCCTGCATCAGCCATAAAGCGAAAAAGCTTCATGATATCTGTGTAGGTGCTGTACTCTGAGCTGCTGTCTGATCTCTCACCTGCATCTTGGACCGTAAAGAATTTCAGTGCTGCTGCTGTCTTTTACCAACTTCCTCCTTTATCCTGTTTCTCCTATCTCTCCTGTTCTTTCTCTTCTCCCCCTACCCTACCTTTCCCTTTCTCTATCTCTCTGTTCACTATTGCTCCTTTCCCATCCTCATCCTGCAGGTATTTAACCCCTTGCGTCAAATCAGAGTATTATGTAACTAAATGGGTAGAAGATGTGAATAAAAAAACTGAAGGACCTTATATTAGGTACAATAATATCAGACTGCATTATATCTGTCCCTATCCATCAGTTGTTCGTTTCCTTGACCAAATATCATTTTCAGAGATGAGAACTGAGTGTTAGGGATTGAAGAGCACTTGCTGGCAGAAACGACATGAATCCTCTCAAAATCAAATATTCATTTCAATGTATTTGTTTCTATTTGATCTAATGATTTATTATTCCATTACAACAAGTCATCAACAGATACACTAGAAATTAAACTGCAATATCACATTAGAGAATGTTTTTTTTTTAAAGTAGATGCATGAACATTTCTACAGTTACAAGGGTCAACTGTATATCCAGATACCCAGTGCTTTATAAGCATAAATCTTCCATTCATACTCCACAATAAAGGAAGACTGAAGGCATTTGATAATCAGTGCATCATTTGATGTAAACATCGATAATCATGTGATGCAAGTATCCAAGAATGGCTTTCATATCTCACAAAACCAAGAACATGTTCAGATAAGATTTCAGTCCTAAATCAACAGAAATAAGAAATTATTTTTTACATAGAAAATATTTGTAGGACCACTAAGGTTTTTGTTGCATTGTGACAATAGTTCAATGAAAAAAAAAGGACATTTAAAAAAATTCTTAAAATTCTCATTATTGTAATGCAAATAAATAATTAAAAAATATATTGTAAAGCAAATATACATCATATTACATTTTTGTACTACCTTTAATTTATTTGAATTTAAATAAAAAATATTACAGTAGTTCTGTCAATGTAGTACAACTAAAATGACTATTAATGAAAACACCAGTGAGTTATTTATTTATTTTTTTTAAAGTATTTTGGGGGTGAAATGTGTGGGAAACAACAAACATTGTCACAATGACAGTCATCATAATGTTCCTAAAAATGATTTTATATGGGTAAATATATATATTTTATATGTCATTATCATATGTATCATTATTATGTAATCAATTTTACTCAACATAATATTTTCTTTTGATTTTGGACTGAAATATAGCTAGGATGTGTTTTCGTGAGATTCACTCAGGTGCTCTGTGTAGGCTGTTGTATTTGTGCATCTGTGTGTGAACATCAAAAAACCAAACCAGCCTCATTGATTGTAGTTAAAGTTCTGTGTTTGATTAATTTTTGTTTTATTCCTCCTTCACTGTTCTGTCCCTCTGACACTCAGTGTCCCTCTCTGCATGCCGGCTGCTGCTTAACGTGTGTTGCTTTTGCACTCTATGATGTCTTCATCGTTTGGCTACCACAGTCTCTGTGACGATGATCACGTGTGTCTGTCCTGATCACCTCATCATGTCCGCCATGTTTGTAAGCCCACATGACGCCGGGTATGTTTGTTCGTTAAACATCCCAACAGCACTACATTGTGCTCGCAGTATCTGCCCAGCTTCACTCTCCAGTAAGAGCCAGTGGGTATTTTTGTGGCAAGGACTGATGAAATTAGTGATTTTGGATGATGGCTTGCCGTGGAAACACTCCCTCTGACCTCGTCAAGGGGTCAAAGGTGACAGCTCCATGTTTGTTAACGCTAGTATCCGGTTCACGCTCTACAGTACTAATGTCACATCTCTCCGCTCTCTCAGGACACTGTCACCCGCCAAATCGCCCACTTCTTCAACGGGCTCCATCGCCTCCAGCCGGAGATACCCCTACCCCATGCCTCCCCTTCCAGATGAGGAGAGGAAGGCCAACAGACAGAGTGCCAGGGTAAGACTTACCATATGTCAGCGTCACTTTATTGTCATTAGCACATGATTCAATTATTTAGACAGTTTCCTCAGAACAATGATTTAGCTCTTTTGTTTCTCAAGGGGTAATTACACTGCATTTTCTGCACATTGTGTAACTTAAGAGCTTTTACTTGAGATGATCCGTTCACTAATGAGGAGAGCTTTCAAAACAACAATTTGTTTTTAATCAGTGGTTCAGAGCTTGTATCAAACTTTCAAAATTCCAGTGGTTCGCCACTAGATGGTGTCAGGGTTATTATAGTTAACTAAAAGTAAAACCGTTAAAAAATTGTTACTTGAAATAAAATAAATGCTAGCTGAAATAAAATAAAATATAAAAAAAAAACATTTCAGCTAGTTTCCACGGCAACATTTCTTATTTTCATTTAGTTTAACTTAATGTTCTTAACTAAAATTAAAATTGAAATAAAGATGAATAAATATATAGAGACATGTAGAAACAACAAAAACTAACAAAAATGACAAAAACAAAAATTACTAAAACTTTAACTAAAATCAACATCAAAGCAGAAAGCAAAAATAAAATCTAATTCAAAATATTAACAAAAACTATAATAGTATTTCAATTATACTAAAATACTAAAATGTCTAATGGTTTTTAACTAATCTATGATTAGTTTTATTATGTAGGTACATCTTTAATTAATTTAATGAATTTTTATTCTTGTGTATAATAAATGTGTGTATAATACAAAAAGGAAAACTTAATTTCCTCTACTTGACTTGTTTGTCAAGCCCTGCCTAAAAACACAAAACAGGGACTACAAATTAATACAATACCATTTTTACAGAACCTTAATTTTCAATGGTATTTAATTTATATAAAGGTTGCATTTAATAGATTACAGTTTTATTAAAACATGCAATTGTTTTATAAATGTGTCATCAGTGTTTGTTGCATTTACATGATTTTGACCAGCAGGTGCCGGCCGCCATCCCGTGATGTTTCAAGCGCTTCGAAACAGTGAATCGTTTTTACAAAGAAATTGGTTCAGTTGATTCAGAGCTTTGAAAAGCTTTGTTTTCTCATTGCTACTATTCACTAATAATATGAAGCACTTAGTTGAAAGTAAACTAGATACCCACAAGCCTGAGGCCATATTCACAAAAAAAATGAAAGTAAAAAAATATACATTTTAAGAAGTTTATAAAAATGTTCCTAGGTGCAATTATTGAAAATTTTCTTGAAAGCAATTCTCAAATATTTACTTAAGAACATCTAATTTTGCTGAAGACTTTGTGCTGCCTGCACATTCCAGTAATAATCATAATAATCATGCATACTTTTTTTTTTTATCATGACTGGATGGAAGTTCAGTACTCATTTTTTTAATCTGCTATGCTACTTGTTTTTTCTTTTTAAATAACACTAGTCATATTTATTAGCACGTGTTCATTATGTCTGTGCGTGATCTGTTTCAGCTGTGGGAAACATCAATATAAAAGAACTCCTCGAAACTGGTCTGCAAAACTCCGTAAGGATTTCTCTGCTTTTGTATGAATGAGAAAACAAAATAAGTAAGAAAATAAGGAATTCAAATGGAGAAACAAGGGACGAGTGAATGGAAGAGTTGGGCATGGTCTCCTCCGATCTCTGTTTAGCATTTGTGGCATGGAGCCGTCTTACCCTGGACGTTGAGGAGTGCTGTATCAGAATGAATTTCCTGCTGTCATTCATAAACAGGACTCAGGAACATGATTTCATCACAAGACAAACCCGTAATGACAGCCGTGCTGAGCAGACACAGAGACAACAGCAGCCACTCGTGCCCTCGTTAAACCCCGCCCCCACACACAGCCTGCCCCGCCCCCAAACACATGCTGTCTTGTGATTGGTGCCCTTGATGTCCGGGTGCAAGAAGCTCATGCAGGAGCAGGAAGTTAACTATTGTTTTGAACGCACGCTGTCACTGTAGAACCTACTGCTGTATGCATGAGAAAACATGTTTATCGATTCCTTGTAGTGTAACGATGTACAAATGTTTTAAGGTCTTTCACTCAAGGGTGCCGCATGTATTGAAGGACAGCTTCGTAGGCTGGTAAGATTCAATCCCATGTCCACTTCACCAGAACATCATCCGGTCCCGTTCATAGAGTCATATCTTCTCAGAGAATTTTGTACATATGTCATATAATTCAGAGTGAAATGTGAGAGTGTAGTAATTGATCGGTTTTGACGTTTGGTTGTGGAGAGCGTGGTGGAACTTTTTTTCCGCTTTAAAGTGTCTGTCCTGTGATCGTCTCCCTGAATTTACAGAATTAGTTTCAAGCCTAGCGCACGCTACACAGAAGCACCATTTCATGAATTATGCGTCAGATCGTAGCAGTGCATCGCAAACAATGATACTTTTGTAATGAGCACATTTCTGCGTCAGATTGAGTAAAGATGCTAAGATCAACTGCAAAGTCGCGACTGAAGTGACAATAGCCACAGACATTTTTTTCCTACATTGTGATGTAACCAATTATCGAAAAAAAAGAGGACAGGGACTTGGTTCTATTTGTTGGTAGCTGATTGGATGGAGGCAGATCTGAATGTAGAGCCAATGGGCGGAGCATGGTGTCTGGCTCCCCCTCTCTGGATGTAATGGGTGGAGATTTAAAGTCCAACCACTCCCTAACCATAACCCTATCTCTAAACACTAGGTCAAGCTCCACCCATTAGGTCCAGAGAGGTGGAGCTGGATTAGGTCAAGCTCCACCCATTTGACTCTTTTGGCAATTGTGAGAAAAGGGCGGAGTTTAAGTGAACTAAATGATGGAAGTCCAACATGCATCACCCTAGAGAAGTCTCGTTTTTAATGCTTTTTCTGTTACAGAATAAAAAAATTGAAAAGGTAATTTTAACTTTTTGTCTACAATCTTGACTTTTTAGTTTTTTTTCTCAGAATTGTGATAAACTTTGAATTCTGGCTTGTTTTCTCGTAATTCTGAGTTTATATCTTGCAATCCCGTGTTTATATCTTACAAGTGACTTTTTTCTCAGAACTGTGATAAAGTCAGAATTGTGCTAAAAGGTTGCAATTAGCCTACTTTTGTTTTACATTTTGTTTTTGTTTTAGTTGCAATTTGACTTTTTTCTTGATCTTGAGGTCAAAAAATGAAATATGCTTGGACAAATTTTTCACATGAAGATAAGATTTTTGTTTTGTGTCGTTTCATGTTTCATGACGACTTCAGAAATCTGTGCTAGTGTCTGTGGTACGTTAACTGATACACATAGTCGATTAGTTGTAAAGTGCTACTATCGTAACGTGCATGAGGCCTTAGTTCTCTGTTGGTGTTTCTAATGAGTTTTTCCCTCATGCTCGCAGCCGAATGTAATTCTTTCATTTCTTTATCATCATCATCTCACGTTATTTATAATTCTCTCGTAGGCGTAAGGAATGTGATTCTAGCTGATTGTTTCGAGTACTTGGGTTTTTGTGATACATGCTGCATTCATGAAAACAACAAGAACAGATTTGTGTATCATCTATCCACCTTATTTTTAGCGGCAATATTTAACCAGAACGAATGTGCGAGGTTTCCGGTGCGTCAACCCCTTCCAGTAATTTGAACTAAACAACAGTTCGTTGCATTTTGTTATTCTTCTGCGGCTAATGAATCAGAAGTCTGGCACATTCACAAAAAATAGCTTACCTCTGCATTGATTTTTTTTTTTTTCAAGATTTAAATGTTTAATGTATTTTTTCCGTTGAAAAATAAGGCGGATAAAATGAACACGAACGGTAAGAATTGATATGGAATTCAGTTTAGGTTTACGCGAGAGACTAAAACCCCGGAGATGTGTGAATGTAATACTAAACATATTTCCTTGATAAATTATGAGGTTTAGGGGGGAATACATGTTGAGATTTTTTTTAAACACATTCTCCCTGAATAACATGTACTGTATGTAGACTTGCTGTTATGAACCCATAATCACAGTTTTCTGATTTTGCTAGACGTTTGTTTACAGCATGACACTCTTCACGGTACAGTTTCCCTCTGGTCACGTGACCAGATAGATTGATAGATTGCCTACTTCTGGTCAGTATTGTATTAGTAATGGCAGTTTTCATCTGTACATAATCTGCTGTGCGTTTGACCTGTCGGCACTGATTTTTGCACTCTGCCTGTAATCCACGAATACCGTCCCGTAACATCGCCAGGATGCATATGAGGTATTTTTAAGGTAACTTTGTAAAGACTTTCCCTCCTCCCCAGTATTACTACTTGTACATATTTAACCCCAACGACAATTAAGTGCTTTAGAATGATTAATACCGCAATAGGTTTTTGTGCAAACTGAGGTTTTTATTTCATTAACAGGTCGCCTTTGTACATCACGTGGGACACTTGCCCCGTTTCTGTGTTTGTATTTGCAGTTTAAACACATCAGGAGAACGAACTCACACCAAGAACATGAACGTTAGTTAACTCAGTATAGTTTCTTTTCGTTTATAAAAACTGACCATCTGAAGCAATACTCTCTGCTCACTGTGACCCTGACCTGTCCGAAACAAATGCACACTTGTACTGGAATAAACATGTCTGATGCCGGTCATATTAATCGATTCATCGGGCATCTAAGCACATTGATCACTGATTTAAGGACACAACCAAAATACCTATGAATGTATTTAAGAAATTCATATTTTCACACACAGCCACGCTAGGGCTGCACAATTAATCGAATTTCTAATCGTGATTACAATTACGTAATTACACAATTACGTAATCATTCAAAGCGGCAATTAATCGTTCAAAGTCCACTTATGTTATTCTGCGTGCTTAAGATGCGTTTTTTTATTTCTACATGTTATCTTAAGGGTTTTTCCTATTATTTTAGTTTTAGTATAACATTATAATACCATTCATATATATATTTTTTTTTTTATAATTTAATGAAGAAACCAATCCGATGTATAGTTGACATTTGAGGCGTAATACTATAGAAAAGCACTAAAGGTTTTTCAGTTAGAGTGTTTTCAGCTTGTTTATTTTCATGTAAAAATACGGCATGCAGTTGCATCAAACAATGGTATAAACATCATTCAATGTAAATTGTGATAATCGTAATTAATAATCGCAATTACAATTTCAAGGGAATAATCGACAATTTTTTGTCATAAACGTGCAGCCCTAAGCCACGCCCACATTGAGAGCTATGGAAGCCCGTTTTCGCCACAGGATAGATAATAAAAGTAATTGCTTTTTCTCTGAAATTGCTTTTTTTTAACCCAGAATTGCAAGAAAAAGAATTGTGAGAATTTTTATGTTTGTTTATTTTTATTCTATGGTGGAAACAAGCTTCTATAGCAATTTAACTCTCTCTCACACACACAAACTGAAATTCAGGACAGCGTTAACCGGAAGTGATTTTTTTTTTTGCAGCTGCAATTTCATCTTTTTCATGCCTTATGCGCAGTCAGCCACTGTCACACTCTCTGTTGTTTCTCTTGTGTTCGCATCTGACCGTGTACACAGTGTTGGTATTCATAAATTCTTCATGGCTGTTTTTGTTCATTGTGTGCTGTACATAGACTGACAATTAAAATGATAAATGCTCATTTTTTTTTCATACAGTATCCATTCAGTATTGTAATATATTTAAGATAAAAGTAAAACTTTCATTCAAATCTTGTCTCATGTGTTGTGTGCAAAGAAGTTGTCCTGTACAGGTTCAGAATAATTCTCACTCTAAATTCTGATTGGATGAGCCACAGCGTACAGTTAAACCAATGAACCACATCCAACAAAAAATGTTTTATCTTATTGCTGTTGCCACCATTTTATAAAAGCAATAAATCTTGAGAGGTTGTGAGTTAGAGATTAATTCTTCAAAAGTGTGTAAATGTCCTAAAAAGTTGTATCAAAACATACACATATGGCATTTATTACACCAGCAGACAGACATCAGGTCAGCAACAGCTACAAAAGATGATCATGTTTTAAAATTGAAATGTTAAAAATGCTAATTTCATTATGCTCTAAGAGAAATACAAATGATATCAAATATGATTTGACATTATCACAGGCACATTTACAGTACGGTCCTGAATTCATCGAAAACAAAACTTGGCACATGAGCCTCTGCCACCTGAAAACAAAAATGATTTCTCATTTTATGTAGTAAAATAATTGTGTATTTAAAAAAAAAATAATGCCAAACCTCATAGCAATACATCCTACCTTTCTGGGCAGTTTAGTGTAACGCACATAGTCCTCCAGAAACATTAATGCTCCGACTACATCTGAAGGCATATCTGGAATCTTCTGACTGTGAGGAACAGACACACAGTTAAACACTTCTGTCACTATCATGCAGAAAAAAAATTATATCAGTTGTTTTTTTTTTTGCATTGCTATTATTTTCATGACAATTAAGAATATTTAACACCATAATGCAATAAAAAATTATTTACTGTAATACAAAAAAATAAATGTATTAGTTTATACATCAATGTAGTATTTGTTGTGCTGCCTTTGTGTAGATTATAAAAAAAGCTTATATTACAAATCCGGTAATATATACATATTTTGTATGATTTTACTCTATATATTTATATTTATTCTCTCTATATATTCATATTTATTATATTTTGTATTATTTTACTCTATATAACTTGCTTAGTTTTTATGCTATATATATTTTTACACCACAATGCAAAAAATTATATTTTATAGTTTTAGTATTTTATAATAATTTTAATTAGTCTTTAGTTAATTCATGAATATTTTAATTGTAAAGCTTATCTACACAGCAATGTAGTACTTGTTGTACAGCTTTTATGCAGATAAAACTATGATTTTATAAATATTATAATTTAACACTATATTTTATAAATATTATATACTTTTTATAATTTCACACTATATATATTTTTTATTCCAGAACTTTAAAAAGTTAAAATACTTTTCTTAATATTTTTCTTAAAGTCCTAAAATAGTCATTTTTTCCTCCACATGTTCTTGTTCCTCAATCATCATCACATACTGAAGTGAGGTACCTGGTGCACTGCTCCATTATGGAGCGAATAAACTGTCCGATCAGAGCCAGGAACTGTTCAGTGTATCTGGAGTGAAACTGTTTGAGCAGCGTCAGGAGACCCAGAACCAGAGGAGCCCAGTCCACCGGATCGGCAGCCTTCCTGCACGTCATGCCTGTGAAAACACCAAACACCATTCAAACCCACACGAGCAGGACCACGGGATTTTTTTATTAAATGACTACTACTTTTAATCAAGAATGTATTAAATTAATCGAAAGTGACAGTAAAGACATTTACAAACTTACAAATGTTTTTTTTTTTTACTTTATATTCATGAAAGAATACTGAAAACAAATCACGGTTTCCACAAAAATATTAAGCAGCAATACGGTTTCAACCCTGATAATAAAAAGAAATGTTTCTTGAGCAGTAAATATTAGAATGATTTCTGAAGAATCATGTGACACTGAAGACAGGAGTAATGATGCTGAAAATTCAGCTTCGCATCACAGGAATAAATTACACTTGGAAAACAGTTCTTTTAAATTGTAATAATATTTCACAATATTACAGTTCTTAGTGTATTTCCGATCAAATACACGCAGCCTCGGTGAGCAGAAGAGACGTCTTTCAAAAGCATTATAAAAGAAGCATGTGAATGGTGGTGTAGAAAATCAGTTACAGACCTTGGCTTTTGTTGTTCTGCAGTTTTGGCAGCTGAGCGATGAGGAACAGGAAGTTCACGATGGGAAAGTAAGGCAGACGCTTCGTCGTGATGTAGATCTGAAAGGAGCGATTTGAATAAAACAACAAAAAGTGGTTCATGTCAACAGACCGTGTCATAGGATGCACTAAAATTTGGGTCATTTTTTTGCAAAAAAAGACAAATCAGGCCAAAAGATTGGACAAAAACATCGAATAAAATAATCACTGATATGATGTCAAATGAAGATTTCACATACACACGACTCACTTTGTTAAGTGGGTTTTGGATTCCAGCGGCCTCCAGATACGCGGTGATCTCGTAGAGCAGAGTGTTGTCCTCTTTGGGATACGGCAGCGATGGATCCTGGTAATGAGCTTCAATATCAGACAGCAGAGACCTGGAAATGACCACACTAACCTTATAAGTCGTCTATGAGGGAGAAGGTAAAACCAACCCAAGTACTAAGAAATAAACAAGGAAGAAACATCATTCCCAACCCACTTGTTCAGATTATCCAGCGCCGCGGCGAGATGTTTCGAGTCAAATTTGCAGGAGTAGTTCAGTTCATTGGCTATCTGCTGCCTCAAGATCTGCATCTGACCCACCTGTCAAAGGATCATTGATTGATTTTGAATAGTGATGATGAAAAAGATGAAAAACAAACATCTCATAGATGAAAAGAAAGCAGCACCTTCATGATGGCTTCCAGATACGGTGGCCAGATCTTCTGAGTTTTGGTCACAGCGTTGACGTAGACTTTGCTTGCATTTGCTGAATATCAATGCAGAAACACAAATATATCAAGAATATTATTGTGGGAATAAGTGTCAGATTTAAAGCAGTCTATCAAACACACCTACCCACAATCCCTTTGACAGGATTGACAGCCGACAGCAGAGCTTTAAAGATGTCAACCACAGCTTTGTCCTTCAGGATGTTCTTCTGTAGGACTGTCAGAAAATTCTGCAATGAAGAAACAAGGACAGATTATTATTATTATTATAATTTTTTTTAAAGTGCCCCTATTGTGGGTTATGAAAGGTTCATATTTTGGTTTTGGGAGTCCCCAACAACAGGTTGACATGCATGCAAGGTCAAAAAACACTTTCATTGTCTTATAATATGCATTTATTTTTACCTTACTTGCTCAACGACTCCCAAACAATTCGTTTAACGATTCAGTTTTCCAAACCCCTCCTATGCGTGACGCTAATCTGCAGTGATTGGTCTGATTGGTCTCATTTTCATTTCATCTTGCCTGTAATGCCTGATAAAGCAGCGTTTGTGAGCGCAGTGCTGCTTTGTGTACAGCGTTACCGGGGAAACCGCTATTTTTACCGCTCCAGAATGAATTTGCATTTTCTTTCAAACCAACGCAAAAAGACCAACAAGTGGGCGGGCAATATGCTAATGTTTGACGTTGACGTCGACATGAAACGGCTTGGGATTCGTTTTAAAAACGACTGGTTTCAATGATTCAGAGTCGACTCTTTCTTTTGAGAGACAATAACTTTATACACGGTGCACTTTCAGATTTAAAACTTTGCAGGATGTTTTCATTCACTTAGAGCTGTGTTACACACTGCATAAAAGGTCATTTTCAAAAATCCATAATAGGGGCACTTTAATAATTAATCATTAATGTTTCCATACAATTACAGTTGTTGATTCAGTTCTTCACTAAATCATGCAATATACCTGAAATCTAACATTTTTTACTTGATTTGGTTCTTTTGTTACAGTTTATAATTGATTGAATTTATTAATAATATTATTATTACTAATATACTAATAATAATACTACTTCTAATTGTACCATTGCTGTTGTTGTTGTTATTATTAAGCATTTTTTATTTTTATTTTATTTATAATTTACGTGACATTTATTCAGTTCTTTACTAAATTATGCAATATATCTGAAATTCTGATGCAGTTTGATTTGATCCTTTCGATAGTTTTAATGTATTATTATTTTTTTATTATTATTAAAACTAACATACTAATAATACTACAACTAACTGTATTATTATTATTAATAACCATTTTTTATTTTATTTAACATTTACATGACATTTATTGTGAAGAGGAGGGTGTAAATATTTAATAAAGATAATATTTGAATTTTGATCCGACTGATTTTTTTTAAATAAAATTGTGATTCTTACAATTCTTTACTAAATTATGTAATACACCTTAAATTTTTAAGCAATTTGACTGTTTCATTAAGGTACTTAATTGTTTCAAAAATTCTTATCTAATAATGAATAATTCTTATTAAGATTGACCTGCAGCTCTTTCACGATCATGAAACACAAGAGTCGGTCGAGTCCGTTCAGGCCGAAGGTGCCCAGCGTGTCCTGAATCTCCGAGAAGAGTCGGTTGTTGGTCACTTCCTGATGCGTCCTCATATCGTACCAGGTGTTCAGCTGATCAATGTAACACGTCGTTCTGAAACGAAACAAAGACAAGCAACGTGGCATTTCTCCAGACGTTTAGCTCTCGACCATCAAAGCTTTGAGTGTTTGTGACTTACTTTGGATCTGTGATCCTCAGGATTTCCCTGCAGAGACGTCCAATAAACGTGGCCGATTCATCAACTGACGGATACTTAGGAATGGGAATGTGGGTGGACTGATAGACGCTTTGCCAGTCTTGGATCTGAAAAGAACCTCTTTAAATCAACACCAGCAGTGAAATCTGAGGCTCAAATCAATAAGATACTGCAAAGACAAGACCTTGGTTCTGAGGAAACTGTTACACTCCTGCTCTACGTTGCAGCTTTCAGATTAAAATTGACCCTTATGACTGGTTTTGTGGCCCGGGGTCACATATAAGAAAATTATAGATATATAGAGTACAATGAAACAAAATAAACTACATTTGTACTACAACTACAATTGTTTTTTTTACGTGCACAGCTTGCTTATAAATAAACTTTACAATTAAAACGTAATTTGTTGCAAAGACTGTGAAAAATAAACACTGTTAAAAATATGTGTAATTGTTGACAAAGTTCATGCATCAATACAAAAAATCTTGAACTTAATTTTAAGCAAAATATAATTTCTTTTGATTTTAGGATAGAATCCTCAGGTTTTGTGTTAACAAATGAATTTTTTTTTATATATAAATTAAATAAGAATAAAATGTATTATTATTTTAAATGTTTTTATTTACTTTTTTATATAAATTAGAAAATACTGCCATGTTGTAATTTTGTTAAAGTTGGCAAGTATACAGTTAAGCCATTTCCTTCAGCTTTGGCATCAGTTCACTGGGCTGAAAGAGACATCAGAAATGAACTTCTAAACAAACTCTAGTGAGCCAGATAAGACAGAACATAATTATAAGACGGTGGTTTGCTCACTTTGGCTTTGGGGTTGAAGATGAGGCCTTTGTGCAGAGCGTAAGCCACACGCTTGACAAGCTCTTTCCTGATCCCGTCCTCCAGAAGCTGCTTCGGATCCACCTGAAACAGCATCAATAATGTTTAATATTCCATAAACACCATAATAAGGCTAGTTAAAACATTTCTCAAATACATTATAGTCAACATGAATATAAAAACACATTTCTTGTCTTTTTGTGAATGAAAAGAAAAATGCCTGTTTGTGATCTATAAAAATGATCAAGGTGTAACATTCAGACAATCTGTTTTAGCACCTTGATAATGCCGACGAGTGTGGTCTTCATCATCAGAATACCTTCAGTGAAGACTGAGATGGCATGAGTGAGTTTAGCTACCTGTCAGATGAAGAAGGTCAGTGAGTTACTTTATTATTGTTATTTACACAATATGAATCTATGCAAGAACAACATGTTGACTCGAGGCCTGAATACGAAGTTTAATTTAAAATACCGAACGCAAACAGACTTGCAGATTTTGTAGAAAGTTTAGCGGAGCAAGTTAGTTATATAGAGTAAAAGAATACATCTAAATATATAGAGTAAAAGAAATATTATATAGAGTAAAAGAACGCAAAATATAATGCATGTAAATATATAGAGGACAAAATAAATATAAAATAAACAAATATATGGAGTAAAAGAATACAAAATATAACGTATAAATATACAGCATAAAATAAATAAATACATAGTATTGGTATATATATATAAATATATTCTTTTTATATTTATATATTGTGACCGTGGAGCACAAAACCAGTCATAAGTAGCACGGGTATATTTGTAGCAATAGCCAAAAATACATTGTATGGGTCAAAATTATCGATTTTTCTTTTATGCCAAAAATCATTAGGATTTTAAGTAAAGATCATGTTCCATGAAGATATTTTGTGAATTCCATACCAATTGTTTTTTTTACGTGCACAGCTTGCTTATAAATAAACTTTACAATTAAAACGTAATTTGTTGCAAAGACTGTGAAAAATAAACACTGTTAAAAATATGTGTAATTGTTGACAAAGTTCATGCATCAATACAAAAAATCTTGAACTTAATTTTAAGCAAAATATAATTTCTTTTGATTTTAGGATAGAATCCTCAGGTTTTGTGTTAACAAATGAATTTTTTTTAATATATAAATTAAATAAGAATAAAATGTATTATTATTTTAAATGTTTTTATTTACTTTTTTATATAAATTAGAAAATACTGCCATGTTGTAATTTTGTTAAAGTTGGCAAGTATACAGTTAGCTTCCTGAATAATAACACACTTTAGGATTATTACGGCTACTTTCAAGAATTCAAAATGGATCTGTTGTACCTCATAACGGGCGCTGAGTTGAGCGTAGTCCTTCAGTTTGTCTTTGTCCAGACGTGTGGGCACCTCCATAATGTCATGGATCTGCAGTTTGATGATTTTGGCCAGCGAGGTGAACATACTCTCTGGAATGATCTGCAGTACCTGGAAGCATGTTTGCAAGAAACACCAAGTCAGAGTAAATACAGAGGGCTCAATAAGAGATTTTAAGCAAAAGATCCAATCACAAATCAAAACTCCTCTCCAAACCTTTCTGACATAAGCCACCAGTTCCCCAGAGTAAAACTGAGACACGCTCAGCAGATCTGGACTGTTGACCTGGTTGATTCGTAGGAGAGGCAGATCCAGCGCAGACGCAAGCTGTTCATATTCATAAAGCTCATGTTATATTTCACAATTCAGAGCAGATTTGGTGAATTTGTTTCTAGTGTCATATGTGACCCTGGACCACAAAACCAGTCTTAAGTCGCTGGGGTATATTTGTAGCAATAGCCTAAACAGGCCATTCTGACTGACCTTTAGAAAAGTGGCTCTGAGTTTGGTCACCATGAAGGGGTTTGCTCTGATACTCTCTTGCATTATTGATGTGAAGCTGTGAGAAACACATTTGGATTAGGAAGTTCAACCTAAAATTTTGATGAGAAATCAAGAAGAGGCCAATGTATCGCCATCATCACCTGTCAATGATCTGCCAGGCGTAGGACAAATCTCCCACTATCTGCATCGTGATGAGCACTTCCTCTTTGATATTGATGGTGCGGATCATCTGATGGAGGAACTTGCGTGTGTCCGCCAGGAACTGACACACCTGCAGGTTGGACTCCAGCTGGTGAAACTCTTGGACCTTACCAGAGAAACAATTTCATGTGAAATCAGTGCGGAGAGTCACGGGTCACAGCACACGTTCAGATGTGTCTGTACCTCCACGAGAGCCTGAATGAGCTGCACAGTCTTCCTGCCGGCTGCGGTCGAGTCCTCGTAGTTCAGGGACTCGATCTGTTTGGAGATCTCTCTGAACCAGGCCTGAAGATTCTCTGATCAAACAAATGAACACGCTGACAATGATGTCTACCGTTTGGCTCCTGCATGTTGTGGGACCGCAAAAGCATTTTACCGTTTTTCTCCACCCTGGTGAGAGGTTTGACCCCAGAAAACACCTCGGCCAGCTCCATCATTCTCTCTGATCCCTCTTTCTTATAGCTCTCCCACTTCAGCTGCTTCTCTGCCAACATCTGCTTGAACATCTGAGAATCACACAAACCGAGAGAAATTAATAACGAGAGGCCAAGTAACAAATTCAAACATTTGTTTTTGAAAGGAGTCTCTAATGCTCACCAAGGCTGCATTTATTTGATGAATAAAAATATAGTAAATAGTAATATTGGTAAAAAAAATTGTTTTAAATATATTTTAAAGCATAATTTATTCAAATCTGAATTTACTCCAGTCATCAGTTACATGATCCTTCAGAAATCATTCTAATATGCTGATTTGCTGCTTAAGAACTATTTCTTATTATTAATAATGTTGAAAACAGTCGTGAGAACGGTTATGCATTAGTAGTATTATTTAAAAGTAATAAAAAATAAAAAACTTACCAAGGTATCAATTTAAGATTGAGAATGATTATTATTTTTTTTAGATTTACCTCTTTGAGTATGAACTCAAACTGGGCCGTGTCCAGCAGCAGCTGAAACAGAATTTTGGGATTGTATTTGGAGTCGTTGATGACTTGATCCTTGATCTGACGCAGTCTCTTGTTGTTTGGATCATAAGCTTTAACAAAAAATTTTTTTTTAATTACTCAGAAAAGCATTTTGAGGCATTCCTTCCAAATGAATTCAATAATCAAAACTCAAAACATCTAGACCAAGTGTTCCTTAACAAGGGGTCCAGAACCCAATAAGGGGCCTCAGCAAACTTCCAAGTGGCCCTCAAGATGACTTAAAACTATTTTAATTCACCCCTTCAACAAATGTCATTTTTATTTAAGAACGAGAATTCCGATGGTTTTCGAAAACAAGAATATTTAAGGAAGCATAATTTTACAAGTTGTGATTTCTAGACCTCAGAAATGTATTTAAATGTATAAAAATCGTACAAAGTCTTGGAATTTTTAATAACGAATATACATTTCTTGTTGAGCCAAGTTCTAAAATTTTTCATCATGAAGAAATTGCTGTTTATGCATAAAAAAAACTACTGAAAAAATTCATGCATTCAGTTATGGAAATGTTTTATTTTAATTTAAAGGGGTCATATGACGATGCTATAAATAACATTATTTTGTATATTTGGTGTAATGCAAAGTGTTGTGTTTATGCAGTTTAAGGTTAAAAAAACACATTATTTTCCACATACTGTACATTATTGTTGCTCCTCTCTGCCCCACCTTTCTGAAAAGTGTTGATTTTTACAAAGCTCATCGGTCTGAAAAGCGAGGTGTGCTCTGATTGGCCAGCTATCCAGTGCGTTGTGATTGGCTGAATACCTCAAGCGCGTGACGGAAATATTATGCCCCTTACCATATTTGGAAACACACAGCATCTCTACGACATGGCGGCGGCAGCGGCAACAATACTACAGCAAGAATAAAAGTTACGCTTTCTTTCTTTGTGTAAACATTTAGGCAGTGTTATGCAAAACTTTCAACACAGTGACGTAGTGTTTGAATGAGGCGTTTTAGGAAGGAGCAGACAAGTCTTCACTTTTATAAAGAATATCTCTTTGTAGGGCAGCACGATTAATCTTATGCGATTGTCATGCGTATCTTGTCAGTAAAGCCGGTTCCGTGATTAGTAGTAAATCTCCATCACCTGCTTTCAGATGGAGCAGCATTTATTACACAGAGCCGTAGTTCACTGAAAAACTACGCAAAATCGCATTCATAATCGCAGACGATATAATCGTACAATTATGAAATCGAAAAAATCGTTTGCGATAATGACAGCTGTTTGCGTAGCTTGTAAGCGAACTACGGCTCTGTGTAGTAAATGCTGCTCCATCTGAAAGCAGGTGATGGAGATGAATCAATGAAAGCAGTTAAATCTTCTGTTTATTCAGCTGCAGAAATAGGCATTTCCTGGGTTTCTTCTGCGAGGCGTATTGGAGTTTCAGCACGAGAGCGCCCTCTGGCCTTCGGATGGAGATTTACTACTGATCACAGAACAGTGCTTCACTGAAAGATACGCATGACAATTGCAGCTTCTGCCTAATCGCGATTTATCGCCTTTGCGATTTAATTTCGATTAATTGTGCAGCCCTTTCTCTTTGGGTTTGAGACTTTAGTCTTTGCAACTTTATGGATCTTATATATGCACGAACAGCTTATAACACTCCCAAGACAAAAGAAAACTTGAAATCGCATCATATGACCCCTTTAAGCTTTGTTATTACATCAGAAGTACCAGAAATATCTGGTCTATTGTCTTTGAAAACTATTGTCAAAAAGGTTGAGAACTGCTGATTTCAACCTTTACGGTCCCATGACATCTCACCGGACTCTGCAGTGTGCAGCATCAGCCAGCGGATGGCAACGTTACAGTCACGGAGGCAGTTGAGCAGTTTGGGAATGTTGTCCAGGACGATTTCTTCTCTCAGGAATCCCTCCTTCAATAACTGCTGCACCTGCGGCCGCAAGCTCTCCACACTGGCAGAGTATCGACCAGCCTGAGAGGAGAAAACAATGACTAAGTGTGAGTCCAGAGTGACTGGTTTAGATCGAACGAATGTGAACGGGAACAGCTCAGGTGACAGTACCTGTTCTTTGATGTTGGCTGTGTCCAATGTGTAGTTCAGGGCTGTTTTAGCAGCTTTATATGGTTCCCACGCCTCCACCAAATTCACCGTGATCCCCATATATATGCTTATAACCTGACGATTTAAGGTTGATATTGCAATAAAAACGTATACATCACATTTTGGGAATTGACACGATTAATACAGTCTTCTCACCCAGTTGTCAGGGAAGTATTTGTCCACGATCTCTCTCATCTTGGCCTGTTGTGTGTGAAGGATGGAGGGGGTGAAGTATAAGCAGACACACAGCATAGCAGCCTGTGTTGCCAGCGCTGTACTGCGGTGCTCCGGCAGAGGATACGCAGAAACCTGCAGCACAACAGATGAAACATTTACATAACATGAAGCATGATTAGACAGGAGTTATGTCTAAATGAGGGGTTTTCAAAAGTTTGATGCCACGGACCCCCGAATAGGTGAAGAACCTTTTTCCTAAAAATAAACGCAAGACAACATTTTCATTTATTAAAATCTAGAAAAATATAATATCTACAAAGTATATATATTTTTTCAGTTTCTTCTTGTTATATTTAATGTCAATAGAACAACATAATTTGTCATTAGCAGCTTATTTTATTATTATTTTTATATGCTGTTTTACACATTTTTTTGTCTTCTTTTTAAAAAATTTAAAATAGAATACAATAATGTCATTATTAAACGTATATATCTATGCATATATATATATATATATATATGTGTGTGTGTGTG